TAATATAATATAATATAATATAATATAATATAATATAATATAATATAATATAATATAATATAATATAATATAATATAATATAATATAATATAATGAATTGGCTTGCTTTCAGAGTAGAAGATCTTGATTTTAACAGTACTGTAAAACCATAACAATACTTACACAGACAGAATACCCAGCAGGATTAGTCTTGGTTTCTTAAATAATTGAAGGAGAATGAAGCCATGTTTAATTCAGGATTCAGGTTATGTTTATTTCAATATTGTTTCTTATTTTGGAAGCTGGTAGGCTAGGTTGACTCAAAGTTCAAATTAAGGATGTAAAATATCCAGTTTTGGAGGATTCCATCAGTATGTATAGACTCAGTTCTATAGAAGACACTCATACAGAGAGAGATATGAAAACTGGAAAGCACTGAATGTGAAAAGAAGTCATTTTTAGATGCAGATTAGAGTCACCAAGAGACAGAGGCCCAATTATATGATCCAACAGAAGCATTTCTGAGCATTTATCCACACGACAAAGCAGGAGCATCCAAAACCATGAATTATAAAAATCCATAGTTTCCCTGGGAATGGCTTCTTTGTTTTTAATTACTGGCTGCGGAAAGTTGGAGCTGCATCAAGCTGTCAGAGTTCAAAAAGTGACTGACAAGGCCGATTCGGGTTCACAACAAAACATTTTTTTTGGTTGTTTTTGTTTTAGAAATTGTTTCTCCTCTCCCCTAAGCAGGATTATGTGCTGCGACTTTGATAAACAGGCAGCTGCAGGGAGGCACATTTCTCACTTGAATGTCACCTTATTTCAAATTAAAAGTAAAAGTTATTCATAATCAGGAGAGATTTTCTCAGGCAAAGATAACATGGTAAAAAAAAAGATATTTTATAAGAGTAAAATTTCCTAAAGTCAGGGGGAAAAAAAACCCACTTACTAAGCCTCATCTAAAATCCAGCCTTTTTTAGTAGCCTTTAGTTCGTATTTGACTGACAGGAAATGGAGTTGATGGAGAGGGGGGAGACATGCATGCGAGACAACAGGCTAGGCCTTGAACCTCTATTAAGGCCTCCATGCATGAGCCACAAATGTCACCTTTATGGCAACGCTTTAACTCCTGAGTGCCTTTCCAAACATCATCAGCACAGCATACATCACCAAAAAAGTAAGAACTAATATGGTAGAGAAAACTGAATTATTGTCACACTGCATCGCAACATTTAAAAAAAATATGTATATAGTTGCAATATATTTTAGAGGGAATTCAACCCTGTTTTCTAATAACTTTAATATAAGTTGTTTATTTAGTTTGTGATTAAGACTTTAGTCTTAAGTTCATGTTTATGACTAAATAAGTTCTATATAATAGAGGAAGACAGCTGGTCTTCAAAGTTCTATTTTACCACATTTCATACACTCACTCTAAATTAAATAAACCACACTGTATTTTTTTTTTTTTTTACCGAAATCTATCATAATGCTATTACTAAAAAAATTTAATTCAATTCAATTCTATTCAATTTAGAAATACTTTATTGATCCTAAAGGGAAACTAAACGTTGTAGGTACTCATTATCAGTTTTTCAACGAGTTGTTATAAATGTTAGTAGCTGCATAGTTTAGGGAAAGCCTTTCACTGAAGACACTCGGTAGATGGTAGCAGATCACTCTTTTCATGACAGACTTATAAAAGATATGCAGAATTTTGTTGCAAACGGTGAAGAACCTATAAGTTTCTGTCATGATTTTACCCTTTGTGGACTTCTGGTTAAGTTTCTTTTTGAGTTTTCAGTTACACTTTGATTTATATAATTCTGTGTTTTCTTGGTCATTGTTTTCATTTCCATTTTGTCATTCTAGTTGTTTTCTAGTTATATTTAAGCAGTGTTGTATTTTTCGAATTACCCCCTTGTGACAGTCTTCTATCCACTAGCTCTCTTCTACATACTTCCATCTACATTTGCTCCCTGTCAGCTGATTAGCCCAGTCTTTGTTCTGTCTCCCATATATACACCTCCTGTGCCACATTGCTGGATTCTCTTCATCACTTTATTCCTTATGTGAGTTTCCCTGAGCATCTCCTAGTGTTTGATTCCTGAGTTACTTGCCTGTTGTTTCTGGATTATTTGCTTCTACACTATCAACATATTCATAAAATCTGCAGGATATCATCTCTGCCTTTCCCTCTCTGCATCTGAGTCTTTAACAAACATGAAGAAGTACAGTCTGCTATTTACCTACTTATAGATTGAACTCTCAACAGTCAACAATCTAGTGCCTAGCTGAGATATGAAGGCATTGTGGTGTTTGACATGTTTAGGTCTTTTTAAAATTATACAATTTCTGGGGGGATCCAATTAATAAAAAGTGTAATCAACATGATCTAATGTGAAACATGAAAGGACCAGGAGTCCCATGTGGGGCACTTTTCTGGCAGGAGTTGGTAAGATAGTTGGAGGCAGCTACCAAAAAAATTATATTGGAGCTTTAAAAAGGCACACGATTTGTGTGGAGGTTGATATTCCAATATGAAGCCAACTTAAAACATTTACCCAGAGCAAAAATGGTCAAAGCATGTGTAAGTCCAGACTTACTGATATTAGCAGATGCTTCATCCAATATGAAAGGGCTATTTTCCAAAATGAAATGGGTAGAATTTTCCATTTTTATTTTAGCAAATCTGGTCGTTTCATATCCTAATAGACTTTCAGCTGTAATTGAAGTGGAAGGTGATTCTACACGGTAGAATAAACACAAATCCACATCACCCACAAATTTTCTTTTCTTTCCACTTTACAGTGATGTATCACCTTTTGTTTCTTTATCAAGTGAAATGCGTGAAGTTTTTTGGCTGTAATACAGCAAAATGTAAAAAAGGTTCAAGGGTGTGTGGATAATTTTGTGTGGGAGTGTATAACTTAGTTAAGGGCAAGATTTAACACTGCATAACTCTGGAGCTTTGTATGATCAAATGCCACCAGCACAGCAGTCAACATTGGCTGGACACTGCCCTGACACATGAATTCAGTCAGTGGATTTCATCAACATTAATTTCTCTGCATAATAAGCGTTGGAGGACAACTTGCACCAGAGTGCTGAGTAGCTTCAACTTTAATTAAGATCAAAGTAGTCAGGAAATGTTAAAGTTCATCACTCTCACATAGGGGAGCTGATCCTGTATTGCGTTTCTGCATCACATCCCGATATGATCATCCTTACAGAGACATTCAGACCACTGGGAAATTCCAGGTTAACTAGTCTACAACAAACTTGATTCAGAGAGATTGGAGGGACAAGCAGGGCAGACTTTGTCAGGGGGAAAAGGATATGCTTCATAATGAGTAAATGAGTGGAGTGATGGAGTTAAAGAAGGAAATAATAATGCACATATACAGCAAACACATTTTGAAACTCTCCATGTGCTGTGGTTGATTCTGGCACGCAATTCTACAATAATCCTAACATACTATGACAATAAAGATCCTTTTGAAGACTTGCTGTCTGTCTTTTATTTATTTATTTTTTTTTTTTTTGGTTATTACTGTAAATGCTCATATGATTTCTATATGCAAGAGAAAACAGTTCAATTATTTGTCTGAGGATCAAGTGAGCTAATTTTTGCTGCAGTCAATGAAGCTGCACTCCAAATCCAATGTGTTATTTTTTCAGAACAATGTTGTTAATTTTAAACCAGATTTTGCTGTAAATTCCAAAAGGTTCCACTTTTATCCTATCAGTCCGCATTATATTGCCCCAAACTTCAAAAGGATCATTATTCTTGCTGTTTCGTTCTGGAACATGGATGCCATTTTTGCTCAGTCTAGGACAGTAAATTAACTAAGCTAATTAATTAAATGCATGATTTCTTTTTTTTTTTAAATGGGTGATTACTTTTACATATAGGGCATGCTTGGTTTGACTACCCCTTATCCACACTATACTGCTTTGTGTACTTACCCAAATGAATTTTTGTTATCAATTTTGGTGATTTAAAACATTTAAAAGTGAGGCAAATGAGATCTGTATTGTTTTATTCAATTGCAGGAATTTAAAATGGGCAAATTGATTTCTCCAGATGCACCTAGTGAAGCTGCAAAACTTAATAAAACACACACACACACACACACACACACACACACACAAAAACAAACAAAAAAACTGAATCATAATGATGTATATATTTTGTTTTTCCAAGAAGGTATACTTTACTTAATCATATTTAGTTACTTTAACACAATGGTTTCATATTAGCAGGGTAGGAAATAAAACCATTTTGTTAAAGTAACTAAATATGATTAAGTTAATGCCAAAAGCATTTGTATTTTTTTCAGTGCATGAAGTTTTTAATGTTTTCCTCCTCAGCTAGTTTGCTCTCCTACTTTGCTGTCTGCATCCTTAAACTCCTTGTTCTAGGCGAGAATTGATACTTTTGATAGAAATCATGTCTCCAAGCTCCAGTGGAGCACATCACACAGGAACCCACCGCTGTGATCGCTCCGGTTTTGCGCTTCGCTCCTCCTCGTCTGGCTGCAAATCTCCCGAGCCCTCAGGTGCTGAGAGATGATGGCGCAGTCCGGATGAATCGCTTCACCCTGAAAATTAGACACACGTCCCAGTTTAACTATGGGGACTTAGATACATGCTTTTCTGGTTCTCAATGTATAACGCGTTAGGCTGAGGCGATAGTTGGAACCCATGAAAAAGGGAAAAGTTAGAGAAATAATGTCCCAATCAAACAGCTTTATGATACTTTTAAAAAACGATATACTCTACTATAGTCTTAGGGAACAATCTGACATTAACATTCTGGGATTAACAGCTTTACGAAAAGGAATCTGGGCTGAAAAGTCATGCGTAAACCTGTGCGCTGTTGGACCTCTCATTAATGTCCTCATCCATTCTGACTGCTGATTTGATTGAGGGTGCAGTTGATGGATGCAGGTGGATAGGAAAGCGATAATGAGAGCCACGCAGCTGCGTAATAATATCAGCCCAACTGTGACAGAGCCGCAAGGAAAATCAGGAGGACAGCTCAGGAAAAAAAGGATAACCAAATAATCCCATTGACAATAAGAGAGATTGTTCCAAGATCTCAAAGGAGCAACTTTTGCTAGACTTTGAAGGGGTTTTACGCGCCTTTTTTTCCTTTTTGCGCAAATAAAAAGAGCAAAATAAAAAATACTCACCATGGGCTTGGAACACAGCTGGATGTAAAAGATGAGGAGGATGACTTTCTCGTATCCTTCCTTGCAGTACATTCCCACGCCCTTTGAGAGATGTGTGCAGGTTTGTGTGGTGCTTCTTATAAAGTGACTTCCTCGGTGCAAACATCCAATGTCAGCCTAAAACAGACGCATCCCTGTTTCTCCTGACTGTGATCTTTAAAGTTGACCCGCTGCTGCTGCTATTGCTGCAAATCTGCGCCTCAGCACAGTGAAAGCAGCTGAAGGAGAAACCTCATTCAGACACCAGGGACGCATCAGAACAGCCAACAGCCAATGGCCTCATTTCAAGTCACTGCGCACCTACTGTATGTCTTAAACTGGCAGGAGCTTGTCTATTTTAAACTATTTTTGCTTGTACACAGCAAAAAAATGGAAATCTAAATGAGTAATTTTTGCTTAAATTAAGTACATTTTTCCTTGAATTGAGGAGGTAAGTGAGATACTTTGCTAATGGAACAAGACAATTTACATCTAAAATAAGAGAAACACCATGGCATTATCTTATTTCAAGTGCATATTATCTAATTATCTTATTTTAGGAGTAAAAATACTCATTCCATTGGCAAATCATCTTATTTATCTGCTAAAATTAAGGGTATATACACTCAATTAATTTTTTTTTTTTTTTACTTATTTCAAGATGTTTTTTTTGCAGTGTACGTTGGTTGGCATTCAGAGCCAGTAATAGGAGAAAATATTTGACACTTTTTCTCAATGATTGCATCCTTTAAGAGTGTCTATTCCAAAGCTTTTAAAAAAGAAAAACAAGGATGGATGCTGTCACGCAAATTCAGCTAATTCCCTTTGTAGAGGGATTTTCATTGCAATGTTTTTTTTTGTTTTGTTTTGTTGTTTTTTTAAGTTTAGTTAAATCTGTTTCTTTCAATAAACAATGTGAAAAGATTGCTGTGTTGACGGCTGCATATGGTTCTGTAATTTTAACTATTTCCTAAGTAAAGAAACCCAAAACTGTGATTTCCTAAAACATCAAGAATCATACATTTCATTTTTATTTGGAAACCAACAACATTTATTGAGAAAGACACTCTTTATTAAACATGTAAATTGACTACACTGAGTTAAACCATATATGGCTGAAAAAATGAAGTGTATGCCCTTAGTAGAACCATCACTTCTAGCAATAGTCAGTTGCTGTTCTCATTTTTGTAATTTTCCTGCTTCGAGTGGACTTTCGCTTTGAGGATTTTTGTTGTTTGTTTTTTTTTTGTTAAACAAAATGAGTCAACATTTCCAGGTATTCAAACTAGGTTTGTGCTCTTAGCACTCTTGAAAAACAGTTCAACAGTTTTTCATACTTTTTAATATGTTGGCAGTTTCTTCCTGTTAAAAGGGAGTTTTTCCTCTCCACTGTCGCTACAAGCATGCTTAGTGTGAGGGATTGCATCCGAGTCAATGAGTCGATACAATCAACTGGTTTTCCTTAGATAGAAAACTTTGAATGCCTTGAGATGACATGTGTAGTGAATTGGCGCTATATAAATAAACTGAATTGAAACTGAATTGAATTAACATAACAGTAAGGTATTCATCGTCCTTCAGTTTTCTTTTTATTTCTTTCAGTTACAGTGGTTTCTTTTAAATATTTAACTTGAGATATAGCATCGCACCAATAACAGTTTCAAACATTATTACTTTGACAGGGCCTGATTTAGGGCGACTTTTTCTCATAGCCGCAAACATGATTCCCTTTAACTCTATGGAGAAAATAAGCTCCTCTAGCAATGCTGGGTTCATGGGAGCGCACCGGAGCGAGTGGAGTGGACAGACGTTATGTGCGTGCTCCTAACGGAGTTATCAACATATCCAGTTCCTGCAAAACTGCTCAAATCAAATCTGGCCCAGATAGAGAACACAAACACAGTGTCAACCGCTAACAGATGTCAAAGTGGGGCATGTCAGTATGGTAGGTTATGGCCAAAAGGGGTTATGAAATGATCTCAGCAACATAAATTCCTAGCTATTTTACCATATCACAACTGTCCATTCAGATTTATTCTCACACTGTTTAAATTTTTTACAAAAAAACGTAACTCTGACTAAAATCAAATTTGTACTTTAAAATATTGCTGTTAGTCTATAAATCACAAAATGGCTTATATCACCAAAATACATCACAGGCTTGTCGTCAGACCTTCCAGGTTTTCTGGCTATAATCATGCAGAACCAAACATTAAGAAGCATCATTTAGTTCTCAACATTCATTAATGTGGAAAAAACTCCCAGAAAAAAATGTAAAAGTGCTTAAACCCTTAGTTTCTTTAAATTGAGATTAAAACTGAATTTGTTCATGGCTTTGACTGTGCTATCTAATAATTATTCGCTAGGTTTCCAGTCCAACTTTGGTTCCAATGCTTTCATTTTCTTAATCATTTGATCCTTTTTTCATACAATCATCTTATTTCTGTATCTACAGTTTATCGCCTCTATGTCACTCCAGCTCATGTACAGCAGTCTGAGTTTCCTTGCCACAGAAATGTGTTATATAAATACACTTCCTTTGCCTTATAAAAGGTTTATTGAATTTCATAAAAAACGCTCCCAGCTCTCATTTGAAAAGACCTATTAATTGTGATTTATGTAGCTTTCCGTGTCCCATTAAAACCATGCAGTTTGTGATTACTTAGTGAAAAAGCTAAGAAATTTGGTGAATTTAAAACGTTTATAAACTTATATAAAGTTTATATATATATATATATATATATATATATATATATATATAATCAGGTGGGTTTAAAAGGATTTTTTTTCTGTATAATCTGTACAATCTGTGCATGTAGCTCCCATATTCATATCTATATTTATATTCATACACAACTCTTATAGTCCCTAACTATTACTTTTGCTTGTAAATACACTTGTAATAATATTTATATCCTGTATAGCACTTCTGGATAGATGCAAACCACATTTCATCGCTTTGTACTCGTGACAGTGCAATGACAATAAAGTTGAATTCTATTCTATTCTATTCTATTCTATATTTTTTACATGTTTCTGTATATGTTGTGATGGAGGTGTGTTTCTTAAGAATCTGATGTTTTTTTCTTGTTTTGTTTACATTTTGTACTTCATTTATCATGAAAATGTGACTTTGTTAATATTAAATTAAATAAAAATGTATTGGTATATGCTTGGTGTGCATCATTTATGCATAATTCTACTAATAAAAGCAAATATATAAAAATACAAATTACAAAATAAGAAGAATTTATCTTAATTGATAAATCTTCTTTTATGGCCAATAATGTAAACATTTTATGTAGAGTACAGAGAGATAAGTAGTTTCTTTTCTAATGTGTGTAAAAAAAATTAAGATGACTGTTTGCTTTTTTGACAATAACTTTTCCATCAGTGCTAGATGATTTACAAATGAGTTCCAATCAGTTCACCTGTAAATTTAGATCAGGATGTGGCCAAAAACAACAAATCATTTCCTAAGGACATTTTCCAACAGAAAGAAAATAGGACTCAACCTTCATACCCTTGCCCAGAGCTGCCAAGTGATTAATCAATGGGAGCGCTTCCCTGCAGATGTTTCACAAGGGCTCCTCTTAAACAGTGGAGTAGATTTGTGACCACATTCACGATGGGAAATTGAATCTGTAGATTTAGAATGCAGAGCAAACATTAATGAGCCATCAATTCTGTATGGATACACATTCATAAACCAGTAGGCTATTATTTCTGTATGTTGTCCTGATTGTTTGGTTGCTGATTTATATGGAAGACCAACTCTGGAATAATTTAGAATAAATGTACAAATATGCTAATGTTAAAAACAAAACATAACAAAACAAAACATACATGAAAAATACAAATAATTAAAAGAGATGAGTATATTTATAATATATTAGTTTTTCACCATATTCTACTGTTTAAATCATTTCTTTTTTTCTCTGTCCATTTGCAACAAATACATTTTTTTTCACTTTTCATGAATTTCTTTTACTTTTTATTGTCATAAGTACTTCTTACTTTTTGCCTGACTTATATTTATAATTACCAAATGCATTTATCTCAGTATGCAAATGAGGTAGGCTGACCTTCACTGGCCTATTCTACAACTATTGGTCAGGAGACACTACCAGCTCCATTGGCTGTTCCATTGTCACTACTCCCTCCCCTCTTCCTTTCCCCTCTGGGCCAGAGGTTTCAGGCTGTGTCTGAATGTCTGCCCTAATCACTATATAGGGCACTATAAAGTGGTTACGCCGTTTTAGACGAGTGTCCGAATGTCTAGCGGATGAAAAAGTAGTGGACTCAAATTTTCCCAAAATGCACCTTAAAAAGTAGTGATTATCCTGGATCACTAGACGAGCGGATATATCCCGGAATGCTTTGCAAGGAGAGCTCACTCCGCAAAGCATTAATGGATTTGTTGTCACAGCGGCCCACGGTTGCTATCCAACAGCCACGACAAATTGCAAAAATGGCGCAGGCACCATGCGTGAAGGCGGAGTCACGTGACTAATGGTGAGCAAAAAGTAGTAAACATCTGTCTCAATGGTAAGTTAACAGAATTCACTATTAAGTCTATTATGTAGTCCCCGCTCTATATAGTGATTGAGGGATTTAGGAGTAGGGTGGTCAGTTGGACACAGAGTCAGACATACCGTCTGAACGTTCCAGACAAAAGTTCAAATCCAAATTCATTTATCTATGAAGCACATTTAAGAAAGAATAGATTGTTGACCAAAGTGCTGTGTATATCAACACACAAAAATTTGAAATAAACTAGAAAATAAGTGAAAACATGGCAGCAGATATATTTAACAGTTTTATAAGGTGCTTTTATATGTGTTGACATTCAACTTAAACTGGAATTTTAAGTAAAAATTTCAAGGTTTGAAAAAAAAGGAAATTGATTAATTGATTGATTTACTGATTTCACAGTAGATACATTTATTTGTTACATCAGCTTAAATAGTCAAATAAGAAAAAAGTGCCAAAGGAAGAAAAAAGGTGCATGGGATACATCATATACTGCGTTCACATATGAAAGTTTTTTTTTTTTTCCAAATACAAATTTGCAAAGTTCCCGTTTAGTTTCAGGCCAATTAACAAGCACTGCAAAGCGTATTGCCATCCTACATGATTGTCCACATTACGCCATCATGCATGTTTTACTTTTTTTTATACTTAATACTAAAGTCTTAAGATTTGGCAAAAAACAAACTACAAAAGGAAATTGCTGTTTTTTTTTTTCAGAAGTATAACATAAGGCTAGGTTTGTATTGTATCATGACATTCGAAACAAATTATATCTATAAGAGATTTAAAGTGCAAAATGGATTCACAAAAAGAGAAAAAGGACTGAAAGACAAAAGCAACTAATAAGGCTTCTTTCAAAAGAAAACTTTAAATGTTCAATGGTTTTCTGTTTTTTGATTGAGTAGACATATTTGTATACACACATTGATTATTTTAAATGGCAAAAGATATGAAGTTGTTGAAGGATTTTTTTTAAATTATCAGTCATTTAAATTAATCTTACAATAACATGTCCCCTGAATGTTAACAACATTATTTTATATGTTTTATTGAATAAATGAAAACCTGTTTATTGAGATTTCATATGAAGTTTGTCATTTTGCTTCTGTGCTGGTTCTCCTTTTTAAAAGCCTGTCCACAAAATGTGGCCATGCAGGCTTCCTGACCTTAGGGATGTGTCGTGAGTCAGCCCTTGCAGTCAAACTGTGCATGTGAAATCCTCATTTTAGTCTAGAAGTGAGATGAATTGAATTCAGTTTGACAGCAGAGCTTCTATGGGGTCACACTTAGTGACCATACAGACACAGTCAGTGAAGCAGAAACGGCTTATCCCTTGTTAGCCTGTCCTTATCCAGGCACCATTTTTTAATATTTTAGACCTCTTAATAAAATTTGAAACCATTTATTTTAACGTTCACAAATACTTTGCCTATGGAATTACTGAAGCAATCTAAATAAGTGCTATCTCATCTGTAGACATTCCTGTGATTCAATCCAAGGACAATAAAAATAATTAAAAGTAAGCAACTTCAACTCAAACAGTTTTGTTTTCTTTAAACTTGCAACAAAAAAAGGGTTAAGCATAAGCTTGTGGGCAATATTTTTGCATCTCCAGATTTGTAAATGCTCACTTATATAAAAAGAAAAAGATATCAATATTTCCTTTTGTAAATATTTTAACATATGTTTTGAGTAGGGATTATTAGAGGCCAGCTACCTGACTTCTCAAAGCTGTCCGACATCTTTAACAATCATTGTGTTGTCAGATTTCACCAGAAATAAATTTGAAACAGTTTTATGTAGTGAATCAGAATACATCAGAACATATGTTTGAGATATTTGCACAATTATAAACCTGCTACATTTATCATCTGTTGACCAGCTATTGCTTTTCTTCTTTTATTTAATTTCAACATTTCTCAATTATCTGAATATTTATTTTTGTTATTATTTCTTTTTCCTTATTATGGTGTGTGTTTCTCTTTTTCTGTACAGTTTAACTTTTTAAAATGCAATTTTTTTTTTACCAATTTATTTTACATCTGGTAGTACTTGTAGTATTTTAAGCTCTATTCATTTTTAGTTCACAAGGCTACATTCATAAAAAAAAAAAAAAAAACATGGGACATGTTTTTGGGGGTTTTTTTATCTCTTTTTAGTAATTTTTGATTAACTTGACTTAATTATTTAAAATGACATTTCTATTTCTTAGCTATATGACAATTTTCCACTTTGAATGACCAGAACAATCTGTCAACTCAGAGAGACATTACATTTTTGCTATATCTAAGGAGATTTATCTAAGTCATTTTTACCAGAACCAGATCTAGGAGATTCCTGACCAGCAGATAGAAACACAGACTAGAAGCTATAAGCAGCCAGTACACTGTGAAACAAAAAGAGAGAAGACTGCAGTTATCATATTCTCCAGCCATGGATTGCAGTTATGAACAGCCATGAGCATTAAAGAACTTGTGAACAGCCATGGCAACAATAAACAGCCATAAGCAATTTGGCAGTTATGATCAGTCAATGGCAGTAATGAACAGCCATGAGTGTTATGGCTCTCGCCATCTCTTGACAAGACATTATGGATCCCGGACGAGCCCCCGGTTGTTACCAGCACCAGCAGCAAGTGACACACATGCTGAAGAGCAACATGGTTCCAGTACACTGTGGATCCCAGAGAGGAGAAATTACTTGCCATTTTGCCCAGGCCAGAGCTTATTCATTCTCAGATACATTTTCCAAAATATAAATACTATTAACAAAGTTTAGAGTACTAATTAAAGGAAGAAATGTGAATATGCACAAATAAAATAGGGAAAATCATTTTTTCACATTTTTTAAAAACAGAGAATAAAATAACACTGCTGCCTTGCAGCAAGAAGGTTCTGGGTTCCATTCCTGGCTTGGGGTCTTTCTGCATGGAGTTTGCATGTTCTCCCTTAGCATGTGTGGGTTCTCTCCGGGTACTCTGACTTCCTCCCACAGTCCAAACACAGGACTGTTAGGTTAATTGGCTTCTGTAAAATTCTCCTCAGGTGTGTGTGAATGGTTGTTTGTCTCTGTGATGCCCTGCGATGGACCTTTCCAGGGTGGACACCGCGTCTTGCCCATAGACAGCTGGAGATGGGCATCAGCACCCCTTGGGATCCACCCAGAAATAAGAGATTGTTCTCTATACTTTTAAGACTAGTTTAGGGTTGAACAATATTGCTGAAATTGAAATTTTTTTTCAACCAAAATTGCAATTGTGATTTTTTTTCCTTTGCACTTGCCACGAGCATGTAGACCCTAATCCCCCACCCCCCACCCCCACCCCACACACACACACACACAAGAGAAAAGTGGCAGCAGCGACACTTGACCATGATCCGAACATGCCAGTTCTAGCTTTATATGTAGGTCACAAAATGAGGCAAAATTTGCTGCTATGCAGAGGTCGGTGCTCCCTTTCAACTATTGCAAATGAAAATTATCTTAAATACTTTGGATGGATGGGTTTCAGGTTGGATTGTAAAGAGTCTAAAAATAGAAGCATTTCTCAATAAGAGAGAATATTTAAATATATTTAAAGATTTCGCAAGCATTTCATACAATGCTAAGTCAAAATCAATTCAGATTAATTAATGACTTCAGTGCCGCTACACCGGAAACTACATTTCCCATGTACCATCGTAGGAAATGTAGTTTTCAACAAAACTGGGTCGTACCATCGGGTGGGATCTATTTTTAATAAAACACAAGTCTCCTATGTGACCATCATTCTTAATAGTCTTCTTATATCATCATACAATAACATATTAAATGTACAATTTTCTTCAACTTTGAATTATAATTCATAAAATCCTAGAAACAAACAAACTAATCCCCCCACTGGTGCGGAAGAATACAGGCCTCCTGCTAATGCCAGTCCTCTTCTACCGTCGAATTACAGCTGGGCCGGCACGCAGTTGGACAATCACCGAGTCATAAAACGACTAATAGAAGCAAAGTAAGTGCAGTAAAGTTAAAATTTCACTCCACGCTAACATGTGAGTGCATGTTGTTTGTAGAACCAGCAAACTGTCCTGTTTTTGTAGTTTAGTTAGCGCCACGTGGTCCAACAAGTTGGCGACGCTGTCAAAAACTTAACCTGCAATCAAAGTAGAATCAGCTGCAAGGGAAATGCAGCCTTGGTTTTTATTTTCCTTCATGTTCATATTATTACTCGCCCTTTTACTGTCCTTTTTTATTTAGACCTTTTAAATAGAAGTTTTATAAATTATCGTTTAATCCACATGTTGCTTTTTTTTTTTTGCTAGCGTTTTATCCCAGATGTCATGAGTCAAGTTTTGTAGTAGAAAATTGTTTTTTCCGCTCTTATATTGACAGTCTGGTTGGTTCAATACTTCGAAAGCTGTTTAAACTAACTCGGCTTTTGAAAGGCAAATGTGTGATTTATGTAAAATTGATCAAAGTTTAAGTTTCCAAAACATCTGTTAATTGAGTAAACTTTTTAAGTAGGGCTTAACCGTTAATCGATCACACTTTAGTGAAGATTAATCGTTTTTATTAGTGAAGATTATCATTTATTGAACATTAATCTTTAATTGAAGTATAGAGGCTCCAAAACATGCCATTATCTGACAGGTCAGCTCAGGGGCGCCGCCAGGAATTTGGGGCCACATGAAGGACACTGATATCGGCCCCCCTTAAAAAAAATAAACAAAAAAAAAAAAAAATTGTCTGGTTTAAATTTCTTTAAAAATCTTCTTTGAGTAAACTTTTGCTCTACGATTAGTAATCAAAAAAAAAAAAAATTAAAGATTATTGGATTGGCAAAATGATCGTTAGCCTTAGGTCTAATTTTTACGTTTTGACTCCTTAGCGTTTTAGATATAAGAAACCCTTTAGTGAAATGCTCTGCTTTTAGTGTGTCACTAATCATGGTTGCATTAAAACATATTTGATCCAAAAACGCGTTTAAACACTTTTGATTAATACCTGGATCATATATGCTTTTTTTTTGTATGGAGAGCAGTTTCATTCAAAATTAATTAAATACTTTTACTGATTAATTGTCAATTCTATTAAAGAAATATCCCCATTAAATAAAAAAAATAAATAAATGTTAACATAATTTTATTTTATATTTCAAGAGCTTTTTATATATTTTCACAGATTTTTAATTACATTATTTTATAATGGAGTTTTATTTTGTGACAGTTTTGTTTTGTAAAGCTACTTTACTTATTCACTTTTTTTTTTTTTTTTTACTCAGTTTTTTTTTTTATTGGGAACTAGCTTGTAAAATATCAAACAGCAGAAGAAGAAAAGAATTGATGCCGTTTTTGTTTGTTTTCAGCATTTCCAGAATGCTTCTGATCTTTTTAGATTTATTCGACTGATTTCCAATGTCTGAAAACAGAAGCAGCTCAGACTCATTGAGGGAATAATATCACTCATCCGAGCCTGATCTATCCTGGAAATGGAAATCTCACATCCTCCCAGGAAGCTAACTATTTTGGCTTTGAATTGAAACATAAATCTATTCAAGTTTTTTTTTTTCTTTCATTTTAAACTCATGGTAAATAATGAATAATATGACGAAAGAAACAACTAAAATGTTGATACAAAAAGTATAATCATATTTTGTCACACTACACTGAGCATACCCGATGATTACGTCAAACAAGCAGTTTAACAGAGTGTAAAAAGCATCCTATTGGCTCAGAAAGTAATTAAATATTTTAAATATGTAGTTCAGCATATTTAAAATATTTAATAAAAAACGGGCTTAAGAAAATAAGTCACTAGGTGCGTAAAGTAGCTTTACAATTTAATTGTAATTATTTATGAAATAAACATATTTAACATATTTTTATATTTCATGGAGATATAAATGGTGGTATAGTGGAGGATTTTTGCAAAATTTTTTAAAAGACCTACCCTCTACACTTAATGACTGACCTACAAAAAAAAAAAGCACAATTCTCCTCCTGCACGCTCTGATTAAAAGTTACTCTTTGCATTGCAACCATAATATTTGCAATTTTTTCACCATGTCAGATTCAGCACCAGTAAGTGAATGTAGGGACGAGCACGTAGGACGGCTTAATGTAAACTTATCACCGGAATCATTGACAATTAGGAGGACCAATCACTTTGATGATCCAACCGGAATAAGAACATCCTCCACGATACCTTTTTATTAATGGAATATTGGCTGACAATTTATCAATAGCAGTATTTTTTATTTTATTTATTTTTTTATGAAACGGCTTTCCGTATTTTTGGAAAAAGGGGAAAAAATTTGTAATTTACTCCAATTGCGGTATTTTAGTTTAAGTTGTATCCTACATTTTACTTAAACATAAATAAAATCTCAAAAACGCATGAAAAATATTAGCCTGCAACACTCCTTGATCAGCTTTGCTGGCCCAAATTTTTAGAGTTCCAATTAATTGATATATAGTGGTTGATCGATTCACATAAAAGGTGACATTTATTGTAGAGTAAATTTTCACAGTTGATAACAAGAAACCCTCTTTAAAGCCGTCTTTGATTTGAATGGATCCCAGCGGGGATGTAGATGATTAAGGCTGAAAATGAAAACTTGAGGGACAAGTGAGATTAGCTTTTCCCAAATGTTTATCATGCAGTTTAACCCCCCTGGTGCAAAGTCAATTGAGCTTTACTGCATTTTTGATACAACATTTTAGAAATTCTAATCTCAATCACATTTGCTCCTCATTTTTGCTCTTTCACAAGCTATTTCTGACACATCTAACCAGCATGGTCCTTGTAAAAGGCTAACTGCACTATGAAATATACAAAGAATGCTGTGAAAGTTCTTACCTGATTTTTTTTTTTTCTTTTTTTCTTCATCCCAATTTTTCACTTAATTGCTGCCGATCATGACATTTGAATGTGTTGCGTAAATAACCAGAAAAAAGGGAAATTATTTAATTTTATTAATCAGAGAAAACAAACCTATCTACCCCATTCTCTACATGGTTCATGGATGTAATGAGCGGTTATACCTGCTTAACTGAGTTATAATGGACTATAAGTGTTTTACATCATCACATGTGACCACTTTCAAACATGAACAGCCTGTTAAAATCTGGATGGCAGTTTGTTCTCTAAAGATCCCACTTTTGTCTTCTAATCCTCAGAATATTTATTGAATTATTGCTTTTGGTGGGTTAAAGTAAAATGTGCTGTGAGTTCATTTCCGTCTGCAGTTGTTGGCCTCGTTACTCATCCATTGATGCCATTTTTGCTCTGTCTCATTTTTTAAACATGAGGACTAGTTTTAATTTATGCAAGTGATGTTAACAGTGCTTTAGATGGTACTCTGGCTTCTTCTGTGACCTCACGGATAAGTCGACCATACACCCTTTAGATTGACTGACTGGTTTGGTGGCAGGTCTTTTATTTTCTCCCCCATTTTTTTGTTGTTGTTTGTTTCTAATATGTACAGGTCTGGCTGTCATTAGGCCTCAATTTAGAAGTGAAATGAAACCAATGTTTTCACACCAGAAAAGTCCTCCGGTTCACTTCTGTGCTTAAGAGCAAAAGCAGACTGTCGTCTATAATTATTTTTATGTAAGCCAGTTTGAATTCAAACTGTATTTTTGGGACTATGAATAACAGCACAGCCACATGTGAGATTATTATTGCTCCCACTGGACATATAGGATGACAGCAGGACCGGTCACACAACTGAAAACATAACTTTGAAAGTCTTTCATGCAGCACCTCTATTTTGCATATTTATGCACATACTTCAGCTGCAAAACCATTGTTTCAAGAGCAGCTTATTAAATATAGATTTCAAGACTTTATTTCCAGTTTTGTGACTTTTGGAGAAAGTGTCCTTTCAGCTGAAATAGATCCATCACTTGCTGGCTGCATTGCTAAACAACAGACAGCAGATCAGCTATGATTTTGATTCATTGACTACTATGGTGGCACACCAAGTCCAGCAGAGATGCATCTGAGTCGGTCCAAGGCTGGTTTGTATCCATGCCTAATGGAAACAGCAGCTTGGAAGATGGTGACCCACTTTTTGAGGTTGTTTGGCCCAGACCAGGGTTAGCTGGTCGTCGCTCACACCTGCACTAAAAGTCTGGACCAAGAGGAGAAACAAACTCTGGTTCATTTGATGCAGAATAAATGTGGCATGTGTGAATATGCCTAAAGCAGTCCATAAAATGGGGTGAATTGCAGGTAAAGAATGACTCGCAAAGTGGGACAAAGGAATTGGATTGTTTAGATGGTTTATTTCTATTGGTGAATAAAATCATTTAAGTTTTTTTTTTAAGTTTACTCTGATTGTTTCCAAATTTAAAAATGTTAAATTTTTTAACCTAAAGAATTTTAGGTGTGACGGATAAGGAAACACAAGAAAATTAGTTTTGATGGTCTACTTCCACCTGTTTTTTCATTTTTCTTTATGATCCTTTGATATACAAGTTGGTAATAGAGACAGCCTGGGCAGAAGAATGGATCAAAATCCTCAACAGCGCAGAATCCCTCAAAATGTCATCTCAGTTGGGGGTTTCCGGCAGGCTAATGTTCCCACCGAGGAGCGAGGAATCATCATCGGAGACAACGTCCAGTTTGGAAGAGTGAGACGTCGCTCCAATTTGTCTCAGTCTGAGAGCTCAGGGGCTGAAGAGGAGCGACTGGGCGGCTCTATGGAGGCAAGTTGTTCCTACGGGCGCAGCCCCATCATTCAGGGCATGCAGGCTGAGGCGGTTTGGTACAGCCGCCCCGCGTATGAGCAAGCCGAAGGCGACTATCACCGGCGACTTGCCTCTAACGGAAACGGGCCGCTGTCGTCCTCACCGCGGAGCCCAAGCACTAAAGGGACTTTGACGTTCCACTCCAGACGCTTAAACGATCAACGGCGAGATGAGGGGAACGGCGTCAAGACTGTGAAAGCGTCCGGTACCCCTCACCGTCAACCGGGCAAGGGTCGCAATCGCACTTCCTCTGAGACAGAGCAGGGAGGCAAAGGCAGCAGGGGGCCGAACCCGAGGAAGAGGGGCTTCTCCGAGACTGAAGGCAGGCCAAAATCGGACAAGTACGACACCTGGCGCTAAGAATTCGTGCATCGTGGTGTGTGTGCTCTAACTCGGGCTACCTTTGTCTGTCTGCATTATTGTTTAGCTTTTTTTTTTTTTGTCTGTTTTTACATGTATGCAAACCTATGTTGAAACATTGAAATTTTCACTTTTCTCCTGACAAGTCATTCTTTTATTAAAAAAATAATAAAAATACTGATTTAAGAAAAAATCTTTATCTCAAGGTTTAGTGCAAAGTAGGGCTGCAAGATGTCAGAAAATGTTGGAATAAATTCACAGGCATCAATAGCAGTAAATTGTGCATCCAAATATTGCTGTGAAAGCTAGTAATGTTGTGGCTAAGCAGTTTGGTTTTAAGCGATGACTGTAGTGATTCAGTAAATCAAATGGATCTCATTTGCAGGTTTAAAAGGAGTTCAAACTGTACCTGTTGGTACCGCTTGGCCTGATCCAGAGCTACAGCTAACATGGCAGAATGCTGCTTCCTTTGACTCATGTTCAATAATAAAAGGTTGATTGTGTTTTTGCTGGCAGGCATGGCCCAGCCTTTTGTTTGCTAATCCAGACTTTATAAAGGAGGCAGCTCTGTTTGAGAGGAATGTGTCGCTGTCTGCTGCTGTAACCTATCTGCAAACAAACAGGAGGTCTCTTTATTACGTTTTTACCTATACCCTTTTTGTTTTTTTGCTTCAGTGTACCTTAAAATGTCATAAGCTTTAATGGCTTCCTCACATTCCATCACTGAGTTCACGTTTGACTGCATCGTGTTGTAACCCGCAACTACTAAACCCTTTACTTCTCCTGTCTGTAACAAATAAGCCTTTAACTACTGTTTTCATCATCCTCTCTAAACTGTCCCAGTATCAACATGAGTGGACTCCAGGGCCTCGCTGCTGAGAACATCTGGTTCGACAAACACCGCTACGATGAAGCAGAGACGCGCTTCTACGAGGGAGCGAATGGCCCTGCCACCCAGCAGCAACAGGTAGCAGCCCCTTTAGATTTAAACGCTGGAAGGACAGAGGTATTTATGCTCTGGCTCTTTGGTCAGTCATTTAGAAAGCAGTCAGAAGCTGCTCCAATTTTTCTCACTCCACTGTTGGCAACAGTTTCATGGTCTGTCGCAGCGGTCGGCAGCCTGCAGCAGCTGCTTGCTTGTTGGCTGTTCTCGATTTAGAAGTGGCTCATGGCACTGAGATGGGTCAGGTGGTTTTGGCAGCTGCCCTGACCTGTCAGACTGTCCTGACTTCCTGCATGGGGGGGGGTGTATGCAATTGAACCTTTAAGTAGGTATTGATCTTATTTAAATTTTTCCAAGTATCAGAAGTGAGAACGCTCATCAGCAGTCGGTTCATTAAAACATTAAATTTTTTTTTTTATTTCCTCAGAAAAGGCACCAAAATATCAGTTATTTGGGTGCTCTGCCCACTACTTTCTTTACTGATCGATGAACAAACGTCAAAGATGCAACAGACACTTAACTACAGTTTGTTGATGCAACTGACTGATGTTCCAGGATTTATGAAGTTTTCTGTGTTTTTCTTCGTTAAAGCAAGAATTTATGTTATAAAGAATTTTATAAATATGTCAAATTCTTTATAACTTGTAGAGGAATCTGTTTTTTGCATTCTTTGTAGTCTTTATATTTCTATCTTAAAGACCAGCTGATGCATAATTTATAAGGCTGAACACAATAAGTTGTCCTAAAAATTTAAATGCAGTTTGGGTTATCCTGCAAATTTTATATACGGTACAAAAAAATGCTTCTTTGACTTTAAACTGAAGAAACGGTTCACTTAATGCATTTGATTTGAACATTTTTGATATTTCAAACTGGATTTTGGTCACTTTCCCTGGTAGGTCTTCTACAAATGTTAAATGTCCCACAATTTCCCCATTGTGGCTCAATAAAAGGATATTCTATTAATTATTTGGATTAAGTCACAAAATGTGCAGTACTGTGGAAGAAATAAACAAAGCAGTTTGGGTTAACTGTTGCTCATTTTATGTATGAGTCAAGAAATTATTTTGAAAAAAAGCTTTTAAATTAATTGATTTTAATTAGGAAGTTAAGAAACATTTGCCTCAATAAACATATATACTCCAGACCAGAGCTGTGAAAACGTGAACCCTGCGGTCTTCTCTCTGTCAGTGACTCACCCTGAGGCGCTTAAAGGCAGTTCATTGGGACAATCTACTAGTTTGCATATCATGGGGGAAATAAACATGATCAAAAGGAATGGCTTAATTGGTCAAATGAAAAAAAAAAAAATTGTGTGGGTTAGAGCAAACAAAAACCAAAGATGGATATGCACATTAGTTCTAGCTCCCCAGTTGGTTTTTCATCATGCTTAAGGACCCCAAATATTAACCCTACAGCTTCTTTTAATGCAGTTTCTTCTGAGTTTTTCCTGCCTTTAATGTTTCTGTATTGCTGGGGGAGGGGGGTCCGGCCAAAGCAGCCCAGCAGCACTCCAAAGGTCGCCAGCAGAAGCGGCAGCACAGGAACGTGAGTCTGTCCTCATCCAGGTTTATTTTTCAGTCCTGGGAATGCTGCATGACTGAACACTGAGCTTAATGTTAGGGTTTGGTTTTTCTTTCTCCTCCTTTCATTGTCTGACTAAAAATGTTAGTTTTAGTAGATGATGCATGATCAAAGGCTATAAGTATTGTCCTGGCTGTAGTCACTGTAGATCATAGCTTCTTTATCTAAATGTTGGGAGATTTGATCCCTGTGTTTTTTATGTTGTTTTTTGCAAAGACTCCTGCAATGATCATGTCAAATCTCTTTGAGGACATGGAAATAAAGCTGTAGTGTTATCTGCTCTGCGGAACAGAAGATAATTAACTGTTGGCATTTCAGGCAAATTCCCTGCAGTAGGACCGTTTAACAGTTGGAACGTGTTTTCCTCTACGTGTTTTTTTTTTTTTTTTTTTTTTTTTTTTTTTGCGTTGCCGTTTATATTTACAAATATATGCGACTTGTATGTGATCTCCTGTGTGAACTGAAGTCATAAAACGCGAGTGTCCCGCACGCGCAGCAGAGGACGCGATGGCGTGACAGGCCAGCATGCTCTTTTATTTTATTTTTTCCCCAGAAGTAAACATGGATGGTAGCGCCGGCGCGCATCCAGCTGTCTCTTCCAACCATAAAAATACAATCTTCTCATTATGGTTAAACATAAATACTGCTCCCCGCATCATCATCTGCCATGGTTGTTGTTTTTCTTGCCGCTACTGTGTAGGAAGACGCATAATAGTGACCTTTGTCGGGTATTAATGGCGTCAGGTTGGATGAATCCGACCTGGCCGTTCAGACACAGGTTGCATTTGAAAAGATCAAATTCGTATCGGATTCAGGACCACATAGCCAGGTGGCGTGGGTCAGATTGGAAAAAATCGGATCTGTGTTGTTCAGACTGTCATGAACAGATCAGATCCAGGTCGCATATGGGCAAAAAAATCGGATTTGGGTCACTTCAGGCTGCAGTCTGAAAGTAGCCTTTGAAACCTAGAAGCATGTCTGTTTCCTCAGCCGAGGATGAAAACACCTCAGCCCTGCATGCCCTTTGTTTTTTAACCCTTCCTTCTATCATATGTGTTTCTTCTCTTTACATTAAAAATGGGAGGGATTGTTTTTGTCTGTGTGCCTAACTATGAGATTACTAGCTAATTTGCTGCATCTTCCCACAGTCGTCTTCTCAAGGAGGAGACCAGGAGCTTGTTACACGAATGAAGAGCCTGGAGTTGGAGAACCAGACTCTGCACAAAGGTTTTTGTATTTCCATAAGCATCCAAGCTTTTTTTTGTTCAAAAAATGCTGTTGGGTTTGGCTCAGTTGTTTATTTTCCTGCTTTCATTAATCTGAGGAAGAATTAACAAAAGTTAAAACCATTAAAAATATTGCATATCAAGTTGTAAATAAAATAAGACAATCTTATTTCAAATTCAGTCATTTATAAATGGATATCTGATTATTCTTTGGTTTTAAAGTCATTATAACTACATGTTGACATGCAAAAGTATATTGGCTTTACTAATTAAATGAGATTTGCAAAATGGAGGAAACATTTGGGTGGCCGTCCCCTGATGGCTAATGTTACCTCGAGTGGGAGACTTATTGTAGCCTCCTTAGCCGGGACATCTTCCCTCAGTAACAACTTCCAAACCAAAGAGTGTTTTTGCTAAATCCTTCTTGGAAGGTTTTGTCAACTGTAAAAAAACGGTTGGATCTTTGCTCTTGTGTTGATCCAGTTATTGATGGATAGTTTAGCCTGAGTACAAAAGCCACCCGCCTGCTTTAAAATGCCTTGTGTTAGCTGGGTGAAATGCCATCATTTAATGCCACCCTGTTTTTGAATGTCAGTGGTGGAGGAGATGAGGACAGCTCTGCAGAAGCTGGAGTCCAGAGTGGCCGTGTTGGAGAAGTCCCCTGCACCAGCAGCTGTCCCCTGTGCTAAGGTAAATGGCTGGCAAGAAACTGTGGATTTGTCTTTATGAACAGGGCTCACCGTCTGAATTTTATTTTTTTCCTGTGTATTTATTTTCAACTTTTGGACCTAACCTTTTTGTATTTGGCATTTAGAAATTGGACGTTTCTGAGCTGTTTTTTCCGTTTCAATACCCAGGCAGCACCAGTCCAACAGGTGAAGGTAACCAATGGCGATGATGCTGATGACGACATTGACTTGTTTGGCAGCGATGAGGAAGATGAGGAGGCAGAACGCCTTAAACAGGAGAGACTGGAAGCCTATGCTGCTAAGAAAGCAAAGAAACCTGCCGTCATTGCTAAGTCCTCCATCCTGCTGGATGTCAAGCCTGTAAGCAGAGATGGGAACTCCGGATACTGAATGCTATAAACGCTAACTACTGTGCTGATGATGTTTGTTTTTCCTTGGTGTTGACTTAGTGGGATGATGAGACTGATATGGCGAAGCTGGAGGAGTGTGTGCGCTCCGTGCAGATGGATGGGCTCCTATGGGGGGCTTCAAAGCTGGTCCCAGTCGGTTATGGCATCAAGAAGCTGCAGATAAACTGTGTGGTTGAGGATGATAAGGTCGGCACAGACATCCTGGAGGAGGAGATCACCAAGTTCGAGGATCATGTAAGTTATCTTGGGTTGTATTGTTAATGTAAGTTTAGATCTAAACGAGCAGTATTCATACCCTTTGATATGTTTCGGTAAGCAGCACAATTTCCAGGCTATTGTGTTGCATTTCATGTCATAGAGGAAGCCAATGCATTTGCATTGTGTTCCTTTTACTTTAAATAAAAGAGGCTGAAGAAAACTGGCGAAACCACTTTCTTTAGAAGTTAACATACGGGCTAATAGTCCAGTATTGTGACATCTATTCCCAGCTTTAAGGCTTCAGAGGTTTGTTGAAGACCATTTGCAAGCAACCCTTAGGAACACAGACGAGTCCAGAAAGTTAAGTTTAAAGTTGGGTTCTAAAGTAAAGCACTACATCAGACTACTGTTAAAACTATAATCTTAAAGGTCCTTGGGGAAATAATTGAAGAAAACACTATTTTACTATGGAAGGTGGAGAAGAAAATTGAAGGAAATATATTCTGTTATGCCAAAGTGGGGATGTGGAAAACATGTGGAAGATGATTTGTTCAGATTAGGCCAAAATGCAAACTAAACCAAATCCAAAGACACACTGTCTCCATGGTGATGGCTGCATTGGGCTGTGAGGATGTTATTTTTTATTTTATTTTTTGGATGATTTTCTAGGAAGGGGGGAAAAAAAATTCAATACCTGCTTTCAAATCTTTATTTAATTAAGAGACTTGACAATTAAATACATTTATAGGTTAGTTATAAATACAATAAGGCTGTGCTTTTCTCTCCTCAGGTCCAGAGTGTAGATGTCGCTGCCTTCAACAAGATCTAATCCTCTGCTGCTCCCAGCATTTGTGGATATTAAAAAGCTGAATCTAAAGCACAAATTTGTCTTTCATTTTTGTATAAATATTTACAAAATATTGTGCTAATAAAGCAAGATTTAATTCAATGAGCACAACTTCAGTGTAGAACCCAGGCCAACCCAAAACCCGGGATACACAGGCTGGGTGAATGTGGTCTTCTCTTTATGAAGCAGAACCATTGAATCGGAAACATTATAGTATGTCAGCGTCCCGGCCCTGTAGTCCAGATACACTCCTATCCTGTTACCACATGAAGTCGGGATGGCAACGCTCTCCTTGTTGTGTTGGAAAGAGCAGACTGTGTTGGTGCAGTCCAGGCTCCAGGATTTGGAGTTATGTCCCAGCTTGCAGTCGCTCCCTCCTCCAATCCTGTTCATGGTCTTGTAGCAGATGCCGACTGAAACCCCGCCGTTCCCAGCCCACTCCACCTCCCAGTAGCATCGGCCGGCCATCCCAGCTCTGCAGAGCACCTGGGCCCAGCTGGTGAAGCGGTCCGGGTGGTCAGGGTAGGGATGTGGCTCTGAGCGGGTGGTCACTGACCTCCTGCTGTCAGACACGCTCAGGTAGGAGTTAGCTGTGTTCGGGTCCAAAGTTAAATCATGGTAATCTGGAAAAGAGAACATGGTCTCACCATATTACAGGCTTCAGAAAATATACGTCTGATTAAAGATTTGTTCTCACATTGAAGGAAATCTGCTCTTTTCCTCGGTTCTGTGGTGTGGTGAATGTCTGCATCCCTAGCTGTTAAAGGAGAGGAATATTTAAAGGACACTTGGCCAATAAAAATATCTGCATGCGTCCAAATAGACGTCCATACCTTTAGCCTTTTCAGTGATGTTGGGGTTGCTGCTCTCCTTCAGTGAGTTTACTACAGATACAAACAAATGGTTTATTATAAAATTCTTTAAGATGTTGGGTTCCTGGAATAGACTTACCTTTATCAGAAACTCTGCTGAATTCTCTTTGAAGTGTTTCATCCAGGCCTCCATTCAGATCTCCAAGGGAGTCTCTCATTGTTTTATACATGAGATAAGTAAGAGCATCTGTGTTGGGCATCTCCGGTGTCTTCATGGGGAAATGAAGCGACTTGCACTTCTGCAGAAGGAAAGGAGGCTGAATCACAGGAAGCTTTCAGAATAATCCATGTTAAGTTCATCTTTAGGCTGGGTAGCTTCTCAACATTGAAACCTAAACACTGGATCAGAACTATTTAGAATTACCCTTTACTACATATAAAAGAATTAAACCATCTGGTCTATAAATAAAATTCCTGATACTGTGCTGCCTAATAGGTTAAGGTTAAAGACATGAGCTAGCATGCTAAACATGATTATAGAAAAATTAAACAAGCCCATACTAATTTAATTACCTTTGTTTAAAAACAAAGGGTAATTTTATTCTTATTGTGGTTATCTTTGAGTTTGAAAACAAAAGTTAACACCAAAACATTTTATCAGTCTAATTGTTAATGAAAATGCTTTTTGATATCCTTTGCTTTATAGATTTAACTACAGAGGTGATGTTTGCGGGTTGGTTAGGCTGCCTGCTTGGAGTGAATTTAGGTTTGTTATTGCAAGCAAACATGTTTTGTAAGGGGATATTTGGGAAAAAGTGTAATCCAAAAATTAAAAACTTCTTAATGGAAATAGTTTTTCAAAATGTGTTTCTTCAGCTATGTTTTACTTCTGTTTCCTATTAAGTTTTATAGATTACACTTCAGTTCTTTGGGCAGGCTTTCCTCTGAAGTGAGGAGACATTTCTATGGGTCTGCATGGACTTTAGAAGCCTTTTTATTGGTCACTGTGCACGTCAAGAGTGAACATTTATACTGGGCTTAAAGTGAAGCGAATGTGACCTGTTAAACATTTTAGAAATAAATTAAAATATGTTAAAACCTGACAAATTTGAAAATATAAATGGAATAAAAACTGGAAACGACTAGAAAAAAAAACCCCTCAAATCTGCAAGTTATTCTCAACCTTTTTCAGACAGACGTTTTTAAAGTAATTTCTGGGTACCTTCCTGTCTTCAAATTTCAATTTATAAAACATGTTTGCAACAATAATGGAACAAAGTACACTTCATACTTTAACCCTACAGCTGGATTTAAACCCCTTTTTTTTCCAAACACATGCAAATACCAAGCAGGGTAGAGGTACCTTTTATGTAATTAACTTAAAGGGGTCATAGAATGATTATACAGGGTATTTAATGCTGGTACTTAATAGACATTTAGTATACTGTTAAAAAGATGAGGTGGAACTGATCACATTGGCAACAGTGCTCCCTGAACAACACTTTGTATCAAGAAGAGGCATGAAAATGTTACAGCAAACAAATGTAGGCAAATTTGTGACGCTAATCTTTAAAGGGGAGCAGAGAGCAGGTGGCATTCCTGAAGTTTTGTTTTCACAACCAAATATACTCATTGTTTTGCAGAGGTTGGAAATGATTTTCATTTATAAACTGATAAGGACTTTTGTTTTTTAACCATGATCCTTAATTCAGCAGTTCCCTTTATTGTTACAACCACATTTGTTTTATTTGGGTTATGGAACACAGCTGGCATCACCAGTGCATAAATCAAGGAGATGAAAACCATCCATACCTGGAGGAAATGGATGTGGTCCTCTGTGTGAGAGAGCTTCTCCAGCTCCGCCTCTGTCCTCCTATGCTCGGCCATGTCCCTCTGGATCCTCTCCAGCATCTCCTCAGCCTGAGAGATCACCAGTCTCTCCTGGGATTTGATCATCTCCTTCACCTCTCCGCTTTGTTTCTCGATGGATCGAATTATCTTAGTGTAAATCCTCTCGCTCTCTTCCACCACGGCCTCTGTCGAGTGCTGTAAACATTAAAGTCCACTTTAAGTATTTCATTTTTTTTTTTTTTGGTATATTGGAAACATTAAAACCTGTGGATCAGGTTGATCTTGCCTTGATGTATCTGATAGCGTATCTTAGTTCCTTCTCTGCATCCTTCAGTTTCTGCAGCGACTTCAGAGATGTTTCTTTGAGTTTTTTCTAAAGGAAAATGGATGAATTATAGTATTGTAGGAGATCTATCCCAGGTTAACTTTCTGGATTCAGAAGTTCCAGAAACATTGAGCTGAAGCTTCTGCTGCAGGACAAACATTTTACTTTGACTATTTTCAATATTTAACATCTTAAAGGCTCCACATGATGCTATAAGGTCATGCTGTGCTTTAAAGACCACACTTTTAGCATCTGTGGTGCATTTTCTTGACTTTCAGAGTCCCCAGAGATAAAGAATGAGTCATTAATGTTTTATCTATACATTGCAAGCTTTACTGAGAGTTATTGTTCCAAATGCAGAAAGATATAGAGCAGCATTTGCTGCTTTAGTTCTACTGCAGACTATTTTGAAAGTGCTGATTTATTATTTTATTTAAAATGAGGAGGTAGTTTCTCTTTGATTTGAACTCTATTCAAAATACAGGAAAGGAAAAAGGTTTATATAAGTGTTTCAAGATTTTGTGAGTCAGAATATGTGGGGTTGCTGCTCCTGCACTCAATTTTAATGGAAACTCAAACTAAATTATTACCAGTTTTCCTGAGCAGGGATAAAGCCAGAGAGCTTGTTTCATATGGATCAGTATGATAACCAGGAATAAAAATGCATTTATTTTTTTTTTTTCAAATTTGAATAAAACACTTGTTTAAAAAAACACAGAAGTAACATTTATTTTCCAGCTACAATGAGGCTTTTTTGAGATTCAGCAAAAATGCTGAATAGCTAACCATAAGATTAGATTTTTTTTTTAAAGTGCTTATAACATACATGCATGGCTAGTTGACTTACTGAATAGTAATAAACTGTTCAGAAAAGTAAAAAAATTACTTAAAGATCTTGATTTTAAATTAATTGCATTTAATGATAATTGATGTCTGATAGGGAATTGAGACAGGCATCTCTCAGAACGTAATGAAAAGTAGATTGTAAAGGCAGATTAAATGCTAAACACTACAAATAATTAAATTTTTGTTTATTTGGGGGTTATTTTTCAGTACGACCTCAATTAAGCTCATGGCATGCTTGTTGGCAAAGTATTTTTCAGGGAAGAGAGGATTTAACAGCAAAACACATTGGACATGCAGTTTAAATAATCTTTCACATAATAGTTTCAATAGAATAGTTTAGGCCAATTCTAAAAAATAAAAAAATGTTTTTAATTTTCATGCAAATAAGAAACTACCCTTTTTGTAAGTTTTCATATAACCAGGCTTTATTTGTGGTGATTTTTTTGTTGTTGCATATTTGATCATCTAACTCTAATGATTCAGTGAAGAATAGAATAGAAGCTAAAAAGGTGGCTGAAAACCACATAAAGATTTGCCAGACATTTAATTTATAAGACTAATACAATTAACTAATTAGAATTAGATTTAAAAAAGTAAAAAGTCATAAATATATTTTAAGATGTTATTTGGTCTTGCTAGGCTTTAATTTAAAATGTATCGACGATAAAATTGTTTCAATAAACATTTTGAGTCCCCTAAACTGGTCCAGCTGGTAGAAATCTGTCCAAGCTGAATAAAAGAAGGGATCAAGCTACAGCCCTCAAGGTTTCCTGCAACATTTAGACGCATCTCTATGTCGAAAACACTCAGAACTAGGTCATCAGCAGAACTCTGTAGAAGCTGAAGATTTTATTCAGTGTTTTGATTCTGCCTGTTTTTCAGCCCAGCTATGGTAGAAGCAGCTGGTGTTTTTCTCCAGAATCAACTTAACATGACTGACTGACAAAGATAAACTTACATTAATATAGAAATTAGGCAGTTTGAGATAATTTACCAGTGCTGTGTAAGTCTTCTAAAATATGCCATAATGGCTGGTATCATGCATTGGCTTAGTGTATGAAAGAGAAAATGCACAAAAAACAAAAAGTGAAATAGTAAGAAATGTTATTGGAGTAATTCTTTTCATCCATCTTTTAACCTAAATCAGGGTTGCAACTTTGGGGACCAAGACTTATTGGCACCTATGTGTTGTTTTTTTTTAATTATAAATTAAATAAAGGCAAACCTTTTAAGGCAGGGTTGAAGCTTTGGCTTCTAGCACAATTAAAGAAAAACAGGAATGCTTTTTGAAAACGTCACTATTCATTAGTTTTACTTTATTGAATCTGAATGGACGATCTAACAGGGAAGGGAAATATTTAAAATAAATCTGTTTTCTAATTGCTGTAGTTCAGTATCTAATAGAATTTTGAAGATCTTTTAGTATTATTTATTTTCATAGTTGAGTTTTTTTAATATATATGTTTAGAATTGCAAACATGCTGAAAACATGATTTACACTGTAGGAAGTTTCAACTTCTACAAATAGGGTTAATTTCCTTTATTCTTATGTCTTTAGCTCTTCCGTGTCGCTTAGAAATGCTTCAGTCAAAGTTATTACCCTTTATTGGGTTTAACATCATCTAATAAAACCCAGATCAAATAATATCCTTAATTTACTTTGGCAGGCTTTCGTCTTTTCCATTTACTTGGTTGAATGTTTGAGAGCTGTTACACACACTGCTTTTATATTTATCAGCCATCAGAACAAGGAAAACATTAACCAGGTTTTTTTTTTCTTTATAAAGCTTACTGAGAGCAGTGAACAAAGAGGCTCAGAGGAAAACTTGAGAACTTGCCTACATTAAAACAGCCGAACTACCCTTTAAATGTTCCACATGAAAAGTGATGTAAATATGTGCTTTTCTAAAGAAACATAATTCTATTCATATTACTCCAGAAACAAATGTCAAGTCTTGTACTGTACTTTTACTAACCTGCTGGTTGGCCCTCTCCTCCACCACTGGCACCGTGTTGTGGCCCTTGTGCCTCTCCTTAACGCATTGCGAGCACACGCACTGCTGGTCACTGTGGCAGTACAGCCGCAGTAACTTTTCGTGCTGCTTGCACAGCTTCTCCTTCAGCCTGTCTGTGGCTGGGATCAGCTTGTGGCCTTTTCTGTGAAAGCGCTCTTCGTGTCCTTTCAGGTGAGCCTGGCATAAAGACTCCAAACACTGGACACAGGATTTGACAGCTCTGCTCTTCCTGCCCTTGCAGACGCTGCATTTTACCTCCTCGGGTTTTGCAAGGTGCTGGGATGCAGGTTGAGCTTCACTTTTTAGCAGCTTCTCCACCACTTCGGCCAGAACGGTGTTCCTGCTCAGCAGGGGTTTTGGGTTGAACACCTGCCTGCACTGAGGGCAGCTGTACTGGTCTTTCTGCTTTGCTGTGTTCCAGTAGTCTTCAATGCAGTCCAGACAGTAGCTGTGTCCACAGGGAATGGTCACAGGGTCTCGCAGAACTTCTAGGCACACGGAACAGCAAAATTGGTCCTGATCTACTGATATAGTTGCGGCTGCCATTGCACTCTGACACACACTGAACTGAAACAGGAAGGAACAATAATGGGCGTAGCTGACAGGTGTGCCGATACCTGTATCTCAGGTTTCACCAGCGGCCTCCAATCACAGCCAGCAACCCTGAGATAGGCCCTCCCAGCTAAAGATTGCAGAGATCAGTCTTCTGCAGTCAGGTGAGAGTAGGTGACCTTTAGAGGTAACCTGAAGCTTGTTCTTTTTAGAGGAAAACCCTGACGCATGTGAAGTCAATAGTATGTCGTTTGTGTTTGTGCAACAAAATGTGGACAAACAACCAGACATGGAGCAGTCTTTCAAGCTAAAATCAAGATAGAAACAGCTTTAATAAAACCATCACATGTGGTATAAATGTGCTGCTCTCCCATTCAGAAGGCTTCTGTTTAACTTCAGTCATGCTTAAGTGTTCTGATCAACAAACTATTTTAATATAAGACAAATATATCCAAATAAAATACCAAAGTTACTGTTAAGAGGGTAATATACGTATCCAAAGCAGCCTGTGCGTATAAAAAGAAGTAATCTAACTTAAACAGGACCTGACCACTATTCTTTGTAAAACTGTTTTGTGAAGAAAAGTTTGTCGGTGACACAGTTTGAAGCACTGTTGCCTTGCAGCAAGAAGGTTCTGGGTTTGATTCCCCGATCCGGGGTCTTCCTGCATGGAGTTTGCATTTTCTCATGCATGTGTGGGTTCCCTCCGCTTCCTCCCACAGCCCTATGAAATGACTTGATTTAGTTGGCATCTCTAAAAAGCGCCTGGGTGTGGGGGTGTGCATGTACCTGTCTTTCCCTCAGAGTGAGGACCATTTTTCCAATTTCACCCTCAGATTGAGAACTAGCTGTTGCAAAGTGACATGATTTTGCCGGTCCTCACATGCTGTTATGCTAATGGTTAGGTTTAGGGGTAAGGTGTCAATTGAATTAGGGTTAGGTATGCATTGGTAATGGTTAGGCTTAGGGCATAGAAAGGGTTGAACATGACTGAAAATCAATGGAAGTCAACATGGTCCTCACTACGATTGCAGAACGAGTATGTGTGTGTCTCAGTGTTGCCACAGTGGGGTTGAATGTAGGAGTTTATCCTGAAATCAAAGGGTTGATGGTTCAAGCCCCAGCTTCGGCTTTCAGTGTCTTTGTGTCCACTTCACCTGCATTGTCTACTGGTGGTGGTCAGAAGGCCCACTTCTGTTAGTGTGTCCCAGGGCAGCTGTGGCTACATTGTAGCTTGCCCCCATCAGTGTGTGTGTGAATGAGTGAGGGACTGAATGTAAAGCACTTTTGTTAAGACCTCTGACATGAAAAAGTGCTATATAAGTACAGGCCTTTTACCATTAACCCTGCGACAGACTGGCCTCTCGCCCAGCGACAGCCGCATGAAAGGCAAGTCAAGGTCACCATGACCCTGACATGATAATCAGGAGTTTGTCCATTTCTTGTAAAATTACTTAAATGACATATTTGTAACTTTAGGGGCCTTTAATGGAAATGCTCCTCAGTAGATTTGAGAGAGATTGATGTGTCAGTTGGACTGAGTGCATTTTCTTAACAGTTGCTGTTGGTCTCTCTCTCTCTCACTCATTCCTCCAACTTTGGCCATCAGTCTTTACAGTAAGTTAGCAGCAAGACTGTGGATCTCACTTCCTCCGTCTATTTACTGCATTGACAACCCTTCTTCCAATAGACAAGTGTTTATTCCAATACATAGCTGTAATATTTCCTTTAATACACTGTACTTTATTCTGTTTTCTTCCCTTAACTCATTTTGTTTGCTTCTTTTTTGCTTGTTTTATTGTAAATCAACATGTGATTTATTTCTCTCTAAAAAAATACAATACATGGATTGATTTTATTAATTAAATAGGCAGGGGATGTTTTTTTAATGTGTTACAAATGAGTCTCCAAAACAAAATAGCTGCAGATGAAGCGTGAGTTAAAGATAAAAAAAAATAAAAAAAAAAAAAACATAAAAGCATAAAGTCTAAAACACATCATGGTAATTCTCTTAGTAACACTGGAATACAATACAGTAAGTTTTTTCATGCTTCTAGCTGCTTCTGAGTAATTTTAATGCATTGTTGCTGCATCTGTAAATAAATACCGTACTAAAATATGTAGCAGATATTAAAGCCAAGAGACTAATGTCAACATATGAAATCACTGGAAAAATGCCCATTCTTGATCTTTACGGTGAGATCATAGAAAAGAAATTATATTCAGGTTGTGTGGATGCATGCATATCATCCAGTCTGATGTCTAGAAGGATTTATCTTCTTCTTGAGGTAGGACGCCGCTGCAAGTGTTTTGGTCTGGATACCGTAGACAGTTTAGAACCTGAGCAAAAACAAAAGATCAACATTAAAAAATCAGCGAACAAACAGCAGCGCAAATGATGAAATCAGATCAGTTTACTGCAAGAGAGTAACTGATCTTAAATATAAAGAAGTTAAAAAGAGAAGAAAGTATTTGGGTGTAAAGTTGGCTAAAATTTCCCCGTGAAACTTTTTAATTGGGATCTGGTGTGGTGTCTGTAGTTACCGAATGGTGAGAAGGCAAATGTGGCCCCAGCAGATGCTGGAGACAGGAACGGGTTCAGAGGACTAACGGCCGGCTGGTCCAGACCGAGAGGAGGTGCCGCTACCAGAACAAAAACACAAAGTTACTGCTGAGTCTCCCAAGTTCAAACATCACGAATCACATGCAGATTCAGCAAACTGTGCTGTAAACAAACATGCTGAGAGAGAGGTTTCTGCCGAAAGGGAAAGGAGGTTCGGATGGGAACATTTTTTATTTATTAGAACAACAGAAACATGTCAAATTACAGAAAGGCGAATGATTGTAACTTAACAAACAGAGACATTCAACGCATAAACCGGCTCTGTAGGAAAACGTCTAAATTAGGGCACTAAAAAAAAAATCTTAATACTTAAAAATTAGTCAAAGCTTTGCTCCTCATCCCTTAATAAGCACAATTTTCATAAAAATATTCCCTTAAAATAATCAGTGATTTCAAAATTAGCTCTATAAAAACACTTTTTTCTTTTAGAATAGAAGTTAAACTCGTGTTTTAAGAAAAGTTAGCTCCATGTGTTTTAATGTTAACAGGTTTGTGAAAAGCAATCAAAAAGCTTTTGTATTAATATTATACTATATGAAAATAATGCTGATGTAAGCTATATAAACAAAAGAAGTTTAATCTTCTATGTCTAAAAAAAATCAAAATGATCCAGTTATTTACAGAAAATCAGTTTGTAATGATCTACTTTGTTTATTTACATTGTCTTTGTACAAACAGATTTGAAAGTTTGAGGGGAAAAAACTGCTTTTGTATTTTCTTTCAAGCACACGTTCAAGTAAACATTATTAAATTGTAGATAGGAGCTAAAATATTTATGAATTTATGTTTATTAGACATGAAATAGCATAATTTACTCCACTAGGTGGCAGCAAATTGTTTTCAACTGATCATTTTCTATGGTATGTTTTCGCTGGTCTTAGGCTGAATTTAGATCAGAAAAGGTTTAATGTAAATCCATCACATTAGTCCAAATGATTTTAAATTGTAGAATTAAACTGAAAACTAGGCTAAAACATGCTTATAGCACTCTCCACATTTATTACCCCTCTGGTTTAAAAAAAAAAACAAACAGTTTTGGAAATAAACGCCTCTTTTATTGAAGATGAGGTTCTTTATTGGTCATTCTTTATTCTTTTTTACAATTGCCCTCACTGTATGTGATGGAAAGATAAACCTGGGTCCTTTATCAGCCTTATTTGTTTCAAATGTTTTGATTGTAGACAGACATTAGATATGAACAAGCTCTATATGCATCTAAACAGGCTCACCTTGTGGCGCCGCCGTGCCTACAGGTGGTCGAGCCTCATTAGTGAAAGGAAATTCACTCTGAATCTCAGGAATTTGAGGCATCACGATTTTAACATCCTTTACTATAAAAAAAAAAAAGAAAGAGAGAGAAACATTAGATCAGAAAGAGTTGATGGAATATGTCACCTGAAAATCCCTCCTGAAGTGTTTTAACCTTTCTCATAGATGCTGACAAACCCTCCCTGGCACACTTCGTGCAGCAATCCCTTGAAGTCAGACACAGCTGTCATCACCGGGTCGAAGGAGAGGCTGGGGTTGGCGTTGAGCAAAGGAGGAGCTGACAGCGCAGGCGGAGCATGAACGGAATGGCATCTCTGAACACACATCCGCAGAGGAGATGGTGTTAGAATGAGTGCTGCTGAGTCACTGTAGTAAGAAGCAAAAAGTGTGAGAAGCGTCACCTGGAGGAACTGGACGGGGTCCTCGGTGTGAGACAGCAGGTCCAGTTCGGCCTCGTTCTTCCTCAGTTCATCGATTTCCTTCTGGATCTTCTCTAGCAGCTGCTCGGCTTCACCGGCGGCCGTCTTTTCCTGGACTTTGATTAGTTCCCTCACTTCAAAACGCTTCAGCTCTATCAGACGAATTAGATCCGTAAAGATGTTGTCACTTTCCTCTGCTGCAGCCCGAGCCAAACGCTAGAGGGAGACAGGTGGGAAGGCAGGTATTATTGAGGAAAATAAACTGCTGCTATATGAGGATATATTGATGCAGCAGCTGATATTTACATAAAGAGCAGGTTATATGTTTTACTTTGAGTGTTCAGACATTTTCTTACTAAGGACTTAACAGAAAGAAACTGTATCAGCACTTACACCGAGAGAGAAAATTGCTGTTCTTAGGTCTTGTGCCTCTTTTTCTCTTTGCTGAATCTTCAGCTGTGAATTCTGTCTCATGTCTGCAAGCTGCGTCTAAAAGAAATAAACATGAGGGGAAATGTTAGAATTATAAGTCCTGTTTACAAAACAGATCTCTCACTTTATAGAAGGTGCATAGATTTTCCAATGATAAGCTGCTGTAAAACCAACAAAAGGTCAAAAACATAAAAAAATCCCTGTTTAAATGCAGCGTTTGTATAAAACCAACTGACCACCAAAATAAAGGCCAAAAAACACCACTAAAGGCAGATTTTTAACATAGAAGAACAACATTCCTGCAACAATATTTATGTCAGAATATTAGCAGACATGGAAAACATGGAGATCAAGGTTTTGTTCTTCAGTGGAGATTTCTCTTAAGTTTTACCCCAACATTCCTGGTGAACTACTGTGTCATTTTATTCAGAGTAAGATGGACTATTCAACCCCAGCATTGTCCATCACCTGATTACAAAAAACAAATATGGGGCTGTAAAACAAAGCCTTTAAGGAAACAGGATGGTCAAAAAGATTGTTAATCCCCCCTCGATAGAGGAGGAAATTAACTTGTTTAGTACAAAGGGCTAGAACATTTTAAGCTTAACAGAATCTGCAGCATCTTTGACTCACCACTGACTAAAATCAACCTAAACACGACCCCATCAAAGCAATAGATAGATAGACAACAATGTTAGGTTGAACTTTGAGTTGTACTCAAGTAACAACTAAATGATGCACTCCAGATTAAGGAGTAATCACTCATTCCTTTTGCTGTATGCAGCGAGGACCATGTGTTGACCCTTATTGATTTGAAGTGTTTTTCCGTTCTTTTCTATACCCTTGCACTGACAATAACCTTAAATCCAATCATTACCAGTGCATATCTCACCCTAAACTACACTTTAGTCCTTAACCAGCAAAATGTCCTTACTTTGATGTTGACATCTGGTCCTCACCCTGATGCCAAAATAAGAGCATACTGGTATTGCGTAATTAGATGAATGCTCAGGCCGTCTCTGGCGGTTTTCTGTGGAGTTCTTAGCTGTCAATTCTGATTTTTTTTTTTTTTTTTTTTTTTTTTTTTTTTTAAGGCTACAGTGGCTCTTTGCAAAGACACACATCTATTAATAATTAGACCATCTCTATTGTAACATGTATTCTGTCCAGCTCAACTTAAACAGAAGTTAATCTGTTTGAAGGAAAGATATTTTTAAAGAAATTTTAAACTAATCCTTTGTCTATGTCCCTAAAATGCAGCATTAAATCAACTTTGGTAGGTCTCTGTCAGTATCCCACTACTCAGCTTGACATTGAACAACCACCAGAAGTTCTCTTTATCTTCCAAAACTGAGGACATCTCTTTACAGAGAGACCTTTGTCCTTTTTCTATCATTTTTCAGTGTTTTACGTCCATCCACTCAAGAGACTCTTTTGTTGATATTAACCCTATTGTGATGAAGAAAAATTATTTCAGTTTAATCTTTTTAGCAGATACTAGAAGGGCTGAAGCGGTATTTGAAACCTCTTTAAATCTCATTAGGTCTTCTTAGAACCTTCAGTTGCAACTGAAGAGCATCGCACCATCACCACCATGTCAATAAATGGATAAAGTGATCTTCATGTGAACTTCTTTGTTATTATACTGATGCTCTACAAATTCCCATTCAATGTGCAAATGTTTATAAAGTCCTAACAGACAGTGCAACTTTATTTTTAGGTTAATCTGATTCAATATAACTAATAGCAGGTTTAAACTATGAATATGGAATGCTGATGTCTGATTTAAAAAAGCATTTTTAAAGCGATATATTTTCAATATTTGTTTAGATAAAGTTTGAATTGTAAAGAATATATGTGATACATGAAAGGTGTAAGAAGTTTGCTGATGAGTCATTATGGCATTAAGGCAAAAAAATATAAAAAAAATTTAGTTTCATGTTTAGATATTTTAGAGAGTCATAGAAAAATGCATAATATAAAAAAAAAAAAAACCTATCATAGTTTGGAATCCCAAAGATTGTGATGGATTACACATAATATGTTTGATTTACTTGTCAATTTTGATTTTAGAGGAATTAACCTTCTGATCTCCACTAAGATCCAATCGAGAAAAACAGGCCCAAACACTGTCTGACAGACTGATTCATCTCTAATTAAGGAATAAAACCTTAAATTCATCATGACTAGTGAAACATTTGATTTCCTGGCATTTCTTCTTTGCTTATTCTACGGAATGACTTACCTGCATGTGTTGTATTTCTGACTCCACCAGCACCGTGTCGTGCCCCTTGTGACGGTCTGTCAGACACAGGTAGCAGATGCAGCAGCTGTCAGTGCGGCAGTAAACCTCCAGCAGCTTGTCATGCTGGGGACAGATGGTCTCCTGGAGACGCTTGGAGGCAGGAACCAGCTTATGCTTCTTGAAGGCGGTGGATTGGTAGTGAGGCTGGAGGTGGACATCGCAGTAGGAGGCCAGACACACCAGGCAGGACCTGACAGCCTTGTTTTTCCTCCCGCTGCAGACGTCGCACTCCACGTCGTCCGCTTCGGCTGGACATCGGTTATCCGTCGGTACCGCCGGGGCATCCTGGAGAGCGGTTTCCTTGAATTTCTCCACCACGTCGGCCAGCATGGTGCTCCTGGCCAGCACGGGCCTCGGGCTAAAGCTCTGTCGGCATTGCGGGCAGACGAAGATACCGAGGAAGTCGTCCTGGTCCCAGTAGTTCTGGATGCAGTCTGAGCAGTAGCTGTGACCGCAGGGGATGGTCACCGGCTGTTTGAGGACATCCAGACATATAGAACAATTAAACTGGTCTTTGTCCAGAACCACTCCACCCTGAGCCATGTTTAAAACCAACGGAGAAAATCTGATAATATAGCAGGATAAACAGGCTTCCTACAGCTACAGCTTTGTTTACAGGAAAGCGAGAGAATGGAGGAGGGGCCTATCTACGACACCGGAAGTAGAGCGGACATTTAATTTAAAGAGACAGGGCATAATAGTGCGAAAAGTTTCCATTAAGCCCACCTTATACAAGAACGACTGACCAGACCTTATTTATACCCTATCGGCGGTCTTCAACAGGGGGTCCACAGAGGTACTACATTGGGGTCAGGAAAGTTTTGGTTGATTACTTTTTTTTTGTATATTACCCCCCTGCATTTTTTTCCACTAATTGAAATGTCTTTAAATACACATTAACATGAATTCAGCAGACTGTAGTAACCAGATAAATGGAGGCAGAAGATGTCTTTCAGTCATCAATGCACACATTCAGCGACACACAGGAGCTCTTTCAAGCTGGGCACCATTTCATTCACAACACCTGTCCCATCAATCAGGAATCCGAATCAGTAATACTTTAATAAGGGCGAAATTACTTTCTTTACATTAATCCATAATAGAGTGACTATAGGACCAGTTTGATATATCACAATTTCATACAGTATATATAATTAGGGGGTCCCTGCTCCATCTCAGCAACTGTTTGGGGGTCCTTGGCCTGGAAAACGTTGAAGACCTCTGCCCTAACACACGACAGATTTCTATATTATGGTGACCCCAATAGCAAAGCAGGTATTTTTAATTACTGTGTTAATAACTATGTATAGTTCAATAGACGGTTGGTAAAAATACACTCATATAATATTATATGAGTGTATATGTTTCAAACCACAATACAGATCTTAAAAGAATGATGTATTTCAGGGGTCTTCAACGTTTTCCAGGCCAAGGACCCCCAAACTGATGGTGAAATGGAGCGGTGACCCCCCTAATTTTATATAATATATCAATGAAATTGTGTTATATCAAAATAGTCCTATAGTCACTCTATTACAGATGAAGTAATGCAACGAAAGAAATTTCACCCTGGGATTATTAAAGTATTTCTGATTCGGATTCCTGATTGATGGGACAGGTGTTGTGAATGAAACGGTGCCCAGATTGAAAGAGCTCCTGTGTGTCGCTGAATGTGTGCATTGATGACTGAAAGACATCTTCTGCCTCCATTTATATTTTACTACAGTGTGTTGAATTCATGTTAGTGTGTAATTAAAGACATTTCAATTAGTGGGAAAAAAAAAAGTCTAATCAAGCAAAACTTTCTCGACCCCCGTGCAGAACCTCCACGGACCCCCTAGGGGTCGCGGACCCCCTGTTGAAGACCTCCGATGTATTTGAGTATTTTATTTTGTACACTACAACTTGGAATTATGGGTAATCCTGAGCATAGATTGAAACCATAGCCGTTAAGTACAAAGTGTTAGCGACGATGGATATCAAAAAGAGGTACTGAAGCGGATTCCAGAAAAGAGAAGAAAAGAAGAGCTGCTGGAAGAACGGAAACATTTTTCCAAAAGGGAAGATGGGGGGTTGGGGGGGTGTTGTACTTCATATGGGGCCCACCCAGATAATGTAGCTTAGGGGCCTATTGTTGTGTCGTTACGCCATTGCTCAAAATCATTATTATTAAGACAATAAAAGACCTGAAATATTTCAGTTAGTGTGCAAACAAATCTAAAATATATGAATGTTCAAGTTTTCTAATTACATTATAGTAAATAATGAACTTGATCACAATATGCTAATATTTTGAGAAGGACCTGTATGTTTTTAAAATTTTGGCCAAAAGAGCAAAAACTGCCTATATCTGTTGGACATAACTTTTTTCATGAATAATCAAAGATTTAATTAGGTGACCTTATTCATTTTACCAATTTAAAGATTATATAAGACTTGGAATCAACTTTATTTATCCCCTGGGATTGCTCCTTCAGGGAAATTCTGGTCCCAATAGCTTTTATAGATTACAAAGAGTTGAAGCAAGATGCCATTAAAGATGACAATATAAAAAGAGTGGATATGGTAGCATAGAAAAAAGGAAAAAGTTTTAATGTCCTGCAATATGTTTCCCTTAAATTTAAAAATATAAAAAAACAGCACAGAGATAATGAAAGACTACACAGTAGCTGACTGTGATTATTGCACTTGCAGTGCAGAAATATACTGACCTTGTAAAATAGGTAAACAATTACACAGGCTATACAGTAGTCAGCATGTGTTTTTGCACAGTGAGAGTGAAAAATATATTGCACAGAAGTGACAAGGTAATGTTTTGCATAAGATGTCCAAGGAAGGGGGTGCTGACCCTTGTCCCTCTTCATATCACCTCCTCCTTCCCCCAAGTGAGGAGTTGTACTGCTTGATGGCTTGGGGAACAAAGGAGTTCAGCAATCTATTGGTCCTGCATTTGGGGAAGAGCAATCTCCCACTGATCAGGCTCCTCAGAAAGGTGAAGACAGTGTATAGGGTTCAGCTTCAAGCCAATCACAGAGCTTAGCCAAAAAAATCAGTTATCCTACCATATGAGATTATTGGTACAATCTTCATAGGGCAATTAGCCCATTGAAGGGTATATTGACCTATTTAAAATCTACAAAGAATACATTTAGAACAATATTTACTGACATTTTGCGCCTGCTCAAAATGTTTCCCATATAATCCTCAACACTTTCACGAAAAGTGATAAAATCAGGAAACTACAAGTTGAACTACATTCCTGAGGACCTCCTTTTTAAACCTTCCCTGCCTGCATGCTTCCAGCTAACCTGGGCTACAGGGTCGTGTTTTTTTTTTCTGTTTTTTGTTTTTGCATATTCTCCTAAACCTGGTAATACCTTTGGTCACTGCTACACTGTGTCCTTTGTCTAAAAATATTAGATTAAATGATGAAGTAAATTTATATTTTTTAAAAAGAGCACTTAGTAATAGAGGAGGAACAAGATGGCCAACATGAACAACTTCTGCATACCACACTGTAAAATTACACTTAGGTGACAAACACCTCCACTGGTCTTTAACAGACCATAGAATATTTTTATTTTTTATTTCAATAAATGAAGCAATATGACCCGTAATATTGATAGGCCTACCATTGATGAACTATACGGTTAGGGTTTCTCTTTTTTCTGTTATTTACCTGCTATCCAGTGCCATGTTCATTTAGCTTACGGTACACCAACTACCTATTCTACATAGTCTACAATATCTTATGAAGACAATGCATCTGCAATAACCTCAGCCAATTTTAAATGGTATAACAACAACTCTAGCTTCATTGTTATTATACTCAGACCTCAGCTTTGTATTAAAGATACTTTAAACATATTCTTTTTTTCCAGCTTTTATTGTCATTACACTGTCACAAGTACAGGGCAATGAAATGAACACTCTGCATTTAACCCATTCCCTTGGGGAGCACTGTGGGGGTCAGGATCATGCTCAGGGACCCAGAGTTTAATTCCGGGGGAGTGGGGCTCGAACTCAGAACCTCAGGATTCCAAGCGCAATGCCCTAACCACTAGGCCACATTTGTTTATAAACCATTTATAAACAAATGTTGCGTTTCACTGCGTCATCACTGACCTTCCTGCTATTTGTACCCTAATGTTCTTTAACAAACCTCGGAGAGCATCACAGGACTGTTGGATTTATGTTATGAAAACAAAAACATACAGGGGAACTTAATTTAATGGGTAGGTGACTACTAAGAGCAGTTGGCTGCACTGGTTTTTATCTAAGGGTCGAAAAAGTTTTGGGGGCGCAGCAGAAATGTGCTGTACTTCCAGATCATTTATAAAGAAGAGCAAAACATGTGTCAAATAACTTTTTTTTTAGTACTATTGAAAGCCTCTGCAATTTAGAAATGTTCTTGACAATGAGTCAATGTTTCACATCTCAGACAGTTTATTTGCTGAAACAAAGGATCGATTTCATAAAGGGACTTTTAGTGCTCGTAACACATTGACTAGACAACCTTTCAACCTGCTTTACAATGAGATAACCAAGAAGGGTAGCTGTGGCAGTAAACTAACAGCTATAGCTGTAATAGTATGGACACCTGTGACTATGTGTCAGTGTGAAAGCCAACAGGAGTTACTGAAAGCAAGTTTTCCAAATCAAATAAGCATTAAAGTTTGAGTAGAAATACATTTGAGAAATCATAAAAAAAATACCATATGATGATTTTAGCTCTACAAATACTGATTAAGGAAAAACAGTTCTGCAAATCAAATAAGACAATAAATACAAATTAACCTTTTATTGTTATCAATCACAGATTCTTTAGAATTTGGATTAAACAACTTTTAATAAAAAAAATTTTTTTAAAAGTTAAATTCCACAATCTGAAATATATATTTCTGTAACAAAATAGGCACTTTTCACAATTTTGGTTTCATCACCACCATTAGATACCATCAAACATTTCTTACTATGTATTCCTTTTGAATTTAAATGCATTAAGAGCTTTTAGAAATGTTACCTGGCATCATCAGTACACATCCCTGCTATTAAAAGGGCAATTTGTCATACAGTTTTATATGTACTCCCTTAAAAGATGTAACATAACAAAACATTTACTTTTAGCCAAAATAAAGTAGTTTTTTTTCAACTAAAAAACAAAGTTCTTTGTTAAAAGAGCTAGCCTAACATTCTAGCACTCTTGTGAGCATATTCATTATTATTTAAACTTTGCCTACATGAAGATCGATGCCATTGTTGAAGGAAGGATCGAAGTCATGTTTATAGTTTGGCACTAATATGTATCTACAATAGAGGAAGCAACAAGCCTCTGGAAGATGTTTTGGTCCAAATTTGGATTAAACTTTACATTGTTGGCCTTCTTGAAAATTGCTTTATACATTTGAAAACTGGCACTGTATCCAAAAATACCATCCATGCCAGTGGCTCTATTATGCTGTGGACAAGCTTTTCAGCAGTGACAGGGAAGCAGATCAGTAATAAGAAAGACAAAACTAAAATAATTAATGTGTACTTAACTGTGCAAGAAAAGACACAGAGAACAATGTTCAGTGCATTTTTATTTTAAAATGCATTAAGATAATCAACAAACATAAATAATGTTTGATAAATAAATCTATGTCCACAAATCAAAGAACAGTAAATGGAATAAACATTCAATTAATATCTTCAAACTTCAAGGTTTTTACCAGGATTTCTTTAAACTTTGTATTGAGAGCATAAATACATAAAAGATTGGGCATACATTTAAAAAAAATCTAAAATCTCTAGAGGACAATATTGATTTGGTCACAAAAAGGAAGCTCTGATGCATAAGTGCCAACTTTGGACATTTCAAATATTTTTTCTATAAGAGCCCTCAAGCCCTCCATCTTTCTTGTGTTGCAGGTTTTGAAAAGTTGCCAGCAACCTCATGTTAGCCTTTGCTTTATAATACCTGCCAATCAAGACAACATTCTCTGTAAAATCACATGCAGATCCAACCAAGTTTTCTATTTTTAAATAGCTGTTTTTTCCTAATCTGGAAAAATAAAGTGCAGATAAACATATATTTAGTACTTTTTAAAATACAGTATTCCCTTTCAGATTGTTAACAGGGATTAACCCGTTTAAAAAATACTGGTCATATGGTTAAACTTTATCATGCTTAATATATCCATTCAAGTATTCCCTTAACATGATTTGGGGTTTTCATTCCAAGTTATTCTCTCTGGTTCTAAACTATAAGGAACAGGCTTGAAAAATATTTTTACTGTTTTGAAACATGCAGTTATGCCAGTGGATTTTTGATGTTTACGCTACATGCTACTGTGAAATTCAATGACGTTTTTTAAATAAAAATGTCTGATACCTGCCTACTCACTGTAAACTAATTGGTAGTCACAGGACTAAAGCTTTGTTCTGGAGTCCCTCTCTTTAAAACTGAACATTTCAAACACTTCCAATTTTTTGTTTTATACATATTTAACTGAAGTAAATATTTTTTTTCACACCAAACACACCAAATATAAATAAACAGCGAGTATGACTGGCCCCAAATCAGAAAACATCAAGTATTAGAAGTCGACTAAAACCCTCTAAAAGGTGTGGGTAGGTCTGAGTGTGTGCAATGCAGAGATATGCGTCTCCACTCATGATACCAAAGAATCTTGGTGCGTCTTCATTTGTTCTTGTCCTCAAGGCCACTCTCTGCTCTCAGTGCCTGACTGCTGGCTGAAATAAAGCTGATCCAGTGTTTGAGTTCCTCTGGAAACTGTGGACACTCAATCTGCAAATAAACACAACGTTAAATACATTGTAGGAAAAACTGAAATGCAGATTCTGAGCCTTTAAATCTAAACCAAATAATTATCCGACATCTCCCAATGCTGTCAGAGTAGGGATTGTTTACATGGCACTTTAAAGCAGAGTTCCCAAAAGTACAGCAAAAGAGCAATAAACATATTCACATTAGAAAAATAAAGCCCTAAAGAAAGTGATGATTATTCTTAGGTACACAATAATAAAAAAAAATATATATTAACACATTAAAATTTTTCTGAGAAGCTTTCTTGTAAATCAGGAAATTATTCCATAAATGTGAAGCAGAGACCCTAATTCAACCAATTAAGAGTAAGATCTTACACTGTAGTTCCCCCACTCTCATATCCCATCATTTAAAGCTTTTATCTTTACAGATTTTTCAATTCAACACGTACAATTCGATCAAAAGATTATGATCTTAAATCAATTCTTGGAAAAAATCTGATTCTTTTATTTTGTTAATTAAAACTGAAAACTCTACTTATATGACCGCACACATTGCAGTATGCTTAAACTTTTTGGTTTACTCAGTTTTGTGGTTATAAAATCAAATGTCTGCCGAATTGGATTGGTAATTTAAGTAAGTTAGTCAAAAAAAAAAACAAAAGGCTTAATTTGGTCTTAAAGCACTTAATATGAATTTACTTCAACATACTTAATTTCTAAGTATAGTGCATATGCACTGCAGAGTATACATTTTCCTTGTGTAAAATTATGGGTTTTAGTTAGTTGTGACCCAAGTATATCAAAATGAAACCTGACTCCGCCAGATGGATATGCGGAGCAAATCCATCTGGAAACCTTCCGTTGAAGAAATTTTGGGAATGGGCGAAAATACTGGTTAGCTGATTGGCCTATGTTGGTGATAGACGGGCCAAATAAACCAACCAGATCAACAAAGCATATGATGTACTAAAAGCCAGGCTACTCTTGCCGAAACCAGTCGGGAGAAGAGCAAAAACATCTTTTCCTCTGAGGAAAGCCTCCAGAGCAGTGTTTTGCTCTTCTTTCAGTGAAGAAATACTCTGTAATTCCGATAAAACTCGCTCGATAGCCACGCTAACGCTAGTTTCATCGGCTGAAGCCGCCATGTTCTTTAGATTGAACTGTCGCGCTTCTCGTTGCGTCACACCTCAACCCGACTCAAAGCCAACACTGATTGGACGTTCGTTTGGTAAACGGCTCCAAATTTTCTTTAACGGAGAGTCTCCAGACTGATCTGCGAGTGAAACCTTGAAAGCTTGCGAGATCAGGATGGTCTCACGAGGCTAATCAAAATGACCTTCAACAGGAATTTTTTTTTTTTTAGATGTAGGAGCTTATTTTATGTGTTTTGCTTTCATCAAGGCACCGTGATTCAATTAAAATTGGATTTTTCCAGAAAAAAACAAACAAACCTGATCTAATATAATGATCAAAAATGCAAATTAAAAATAAAAAACCCTCACCTTCTTCTTGTAGATGAACTCAATGATGCTTTCTGGGCTGATGCCCACCACATTCTGCCTACAAAGCATGACTGCAGAAACAAAACTATCTCTCTTGGACACAAAGCGCTGCTCTAGATAGAAGGCCTTCTCATCCCAGCCTAACACTTTGGTACGAATCTGGAAAGCCTCTCTGAAGGCCAAAGAGCGTCTGTAACGAATGGTGGAGGCCCCTACTACCAATCTGACCCCCAGTTTGCGTGAGGCCATGAACAGCCCGTTTCTCATGTAGTGGTGGAAGCGGGCAAAGTCACACTCCCTTAGATAGCGAGAGTTGTTCATGTGGCCGAGGTAGTCTAAATCATTGGGAAGAACCATGCCGTCAATGCTTTGTTCAGCTAGTATGTCTTCTATTCTGGGCAGGAACCATGCTTCTACAAAGACCTGGGCCCCCCGCAGGAAGTACCACACGTCCAGGTTGCAGAAGAGTAGGAGGAGGGCACTCAGCACCAGCAGCAACATCTCTCTGCAACACAAATACACATATAGATCAAAAGAATTAAAAATGATGCGACAGATATTAATGCATTCAATTGTTATTACATAATGTCTTGTATAAACCGGGTTGCTTTAAAAGATTTTCAGTAATATGCAGCTTTAGATTCTAGAGGCATTAACACAATTTGTTATTTAACATGATAAATCCATATACACAGGTAATTAGTATCTCAGCTTTCTAGAGCTAAAACACTTGGGTCCTATAGCTCCACAGCCACGCACTGCAACCCTGACACGAGTGGGAAGTGAGCGGAGCTCCTTTCCAATAAACCTGCTGTGGAAGACAAATCTTTTAGCTTAGCTGTTAGCAGTCAGAGGCTGCTGGCCTAAGCAGACACAAGCACCGCAGTCTGACGTGAAAGTCCCCCCTTTCCAGCAAACCGTCCCATAGCAAAGGCGACGTCCAAACATGTAACAGAAGCATATTTCCACGAACGTAAAACTCACCGTCCGTCCCACAGAAGGCGCTACCATAGGACGGAATACAACTTCAAGAAGCCGGTAGGTTCAATGGACATGACTTCCGGGTGTGTGACGTAACAGAGCTTCATTGGGTAATTTGTTGACATGGTTGCAGGGTCGTTTTGCATATTGACGCTTTTTGGTTTCTCAGCTTTTTCTTCCGTTTTATTAATTTTTTTTTTTTACTTGCGTTGTACGGAAGAGGATTAGGGCCATTGGAAAAAAAAAAAAGCTAACTGATTAAAAAAAAATTGTTTCAGTTTAATATGGGAAAAAAATCATAATTCTGACTTTTTTTTCTCAGAATTCTGACTTTAATCTCAGAATTTGAACTTTTTTCTCAGAATTCTGACTTTGATCTCATAATTTTGACTTTAACCCATAAAATTCGGACTTTTTCCTAAGAATTCTGAATTAAATCTCAGAGAAAAAAGTCAGAGTTCTGACTTTAATCTCACAATTCTGAATTTAATCTCAGAGGGAAAAAGTCTGGAGAAAAAAAGTCAGAATTCTGAGATTAAAGTCAAAATTCTGACTTTTTTCTCATATTATACTGAAATAAAATTTAAAAATCAGTTAAGTTTTTTTTTTTTCTTCCAGCCCTAATCCTCTTCCACGGTGTTGTCATGAAATATAGTAAAGGTACTGTATAAACAGCTATTCTGTAAAACATTCATGGGATATTTACATTACTTAACTGTCTTGTCAGAGATATTATAAAGGATTTTTTATAATCAGGTGTAACATTTTTACTAAGTGTATGCATTAACTTTTTCTAGAGTGTTAAAGTAGTTCTGAACAGTTTTTTTTTTACATCTACTCCATTCAACATATGTTAATTAATCTTTACTAGAGTAGAATTAATACTTCTAGACCAATAGGTCATAATACAAACATATCATTTATAGTCAAAAAAACACATTATGCTTACATATATTTGAATGAAAAAAAAAATTCTCCATATAGCAAAAGATGGTGGTGGATTTCAGAAGGGACAAGGATTGTCTTCGTCCCCTGTACCTCAGAGGTGCAGCTGTGGAGGTGGTCTCCAGCTACAGGTAGCTGGGTGTGCATTCATCCAGTAATCTCACCTGGAGGGTCCATCAGCATCTCTACTTTCTCAGTAATCTGCATAGAGCTGGACTCAGGAGCTCAGTCCTGAGGAGCTTTTTTTTTGCTGTGATGGACTGAGGACTGTAGGGAGCAGACTTGACTCGAAACTTGGGCCTCTACACATGGGGAGGGTCCTCATCATGAAGGACGCCACCCATCCTGCAGACTCTTCCTGCTTCTCCTCTCAGATGAGGAGCATCCAGAGCAACACCACTAGGCTCTCAAACAAGTTTTCCTGCAGCTGTTACCGAGTGCTCAATTCAAACAGCAATTAATCCAGATTAATCTACTACTTTCTTTTCTTAAATATTAATACAAGTCCACACTTTGCTTCCAAAAACTGTAAAAATGAGCTGGTATGACAATAAAAACATAACTAAATCCTTAAATGTTGGGTAAGAGCAGACATCTTTTCCAGGGTTGACTTTGAGTCTGAACGTCTAAATTACATAAAACAAGGAAATGACCCATACTCTGTGCACATAATGGATCTATTAGAAAGGTATGGCGTTATCACAAGGCCAAGCTGTTATCATATATACCTACTGACAGAAAACTATTGTATTGGAACATGATAAAACTTTATGGTGAACCTGATATGAAAATTCATTATCAGCCATTTAATGAGTAAACTAGAACAGAGCAGAGGCTCCCTATAAATGCAATATTCAGCTCTAAAAGGAAAACTAAAGTTGGTAAATAAGCTAAAAGGATCAAACTAAAAGCCAACTTGACAAGCTATTGGGTCTATAACAGGGGTCTTCAACGTTTTCCAGGCTAAGGACCCCCAAACTGATGGCAAGATGGAGCAGGGACCCCTTAATTATATATATGGTATGAAATTGTGTTATATCAAACTGATCCTACACTCTATTACATACTGTATGGAGTATGGTAATAAGAAAAGTAATTTGGCCCTGGGATTATTAAAGTATTTCTGATTCTGATTGCTGGGACAGGTGTTGAAATGAATGAAACGGTGCCCAGCTTAAAAGAGATGCTGTGTGTTGCTGAATGTGTGCATTGATGACTGAAAGACATCTTCTGCCTCCAATTATGTGTTTACTACAGTGTGTTAATTCATGTTAATGTGGATTTAAAGACATTTCAAGTAGTGGAAAAAATTGTAGGGGGGAATATAAAAAAAATAACTTTTGGGACCCCCCACGCAGTACAACCATGAACTCACTAGGGGTCGCAGACCCCCATATTGAAGACCTCCAGTCTAGAAGAAAATATCTGTTAACATTTTATGTCATCCACATTCTGTTGTATTAACAGCTTTAAGCTCCATGCTTCAAATCTATTACTGAAAGTCTGTCTAATTTACTATCTAATAGCTATTCAATCATCTTTCACTCTCTGTTTTTTATATAAAAGCAAAAAGATATATTTATTTCCCAAACTGTTAGATGTTAAAACCTAAGTAGTAATTTTCAGTGCTAACATTTTTATAGAAGCTTTAAAAAAAGAAGCTGGCACCTGCAACCATGGCTGTTTTATTGCAGCTGCTAGCAGACAGAACACATCATACGGTTATATTTACAGTTACAAAAGTTATGATGTACCACCGTTTCTTAATGCAATGTGCACCATTAATCCTGCTTCACATCTTTAAATACTGGGCTCAAAGTACCCTGAATGCAAAGAAGAGGCACATCAGTGAAGAGGGGATAGATCTGTACAGATGGGCAAGAGTCTCTCTGAGGAGATTAAGGATGGTGTGCAGATAAACTGGCTGCTTTTCTTCAACATGGAGAGAAGATCCTCTCATCCAACTTTATTTGCTCTTGTCATCAAGACCACTTTCAGCTCTCAAGGCCTGGCTGCTGGCAGAAATAAAGTTAACCCAATGCTGCAGGTCCTCTGGGAACTCAGGGGGCTCCACCTGGAAGCAGGAAAACACAGGATTATTGTCATTTACTGTCACAGGGAAAAAGATTCATCCCTTCAGCTTTTAGCTACTATCTTACCTTTCTTTTACACAGGTGCTGCAAGATCTTGTCTGGACTGCTGCGTATCACACTTTGCTTGCAGTACATCACGGCACACACCAGCTTGTCTTTTCTGGACACGAACCTTTGCTCCAGGTAAAAAGCTTTGTCATCCCAAGTGACGATCCGACTGCACAGATCATAACCCTCTCCTATACACAGAGCCCTGCGGTAGCGAATGGTGGTGGCCCCTACTACCATGTTGGCTCTCAGGGCCCGCACCGCTTTGAACACACCGTTGCGCGTGTAGAGAGAAAAGCGGGCAAAGTCGCACTCCCGGAGGTACCGAGCATTGTTCATGTGGCACATGTCAATGTCGCGTGGAGTGACGAGTCCCGTCACGACCTGCTCTCCTGTGACGTCCCATACTGGAGGTTGAAACCAGGCCTTCAAGATCACGGCGCCAGCTCGCAGGAAGTACCACACATCCAGAGAGCAGAAGAGAACCACTAAGGCAGCCAGGACCCACGCTACCCACCACATTTCTGGAAAGTCAGGACAGACAGAGACAAACAATGAGTGCGATGTTGTTTATTTCTAAATTAGAAGTACAGAACAGAATAGACGTGTATATTATTTTCATAAATCCTAGTATCTGGTTTTAATTGGTCCAAAAGTCGGAAGAAAAAGCCCCCCCAAGTTCACGTGTTTTTTTTTGTGTGCAGTGTACAGCTATATTTAACCAGATTTCATTTGTAGATCCACGTTTTTATGCCTTAAGAGCTGCATGTTTTTGCATGGATGTCTTTCACTTCTGTTTATCTTGAAACAGAGCTTTTTTTATATATATATATTTTATTAGTCTTCTTTGTTTCTAAAGTTTCTAAAACTTTAAGCAGAAGAGTCCTTATAAACATGTGTCACCAATTCTCAGTTGTATTCATCTTTACTGGACTTTTTACATGAACAACCTTTCACCATCCAGCACACATAAACCTCAGACCTCATTATCTAGTTTCCTGCTACTTTTAAATGGGTATCTGCTTCAAATAGATAAACTAAGATGTCTGTCATGTGGTATGTTTTGTATTCAGGGGGTCAATCAGTATTTTTAGCTCAGGTTTGTTGGACCAGGGGATTCATATAAGACCTTTGTGGATGATGATGATGATGATGATAAATAAAGAATATCCCAAGTTTTGAACATCTCTGCAACTTTAATACTGACCAATATGCACTGGTTTGTTCCATAATGTTCTCAAACAAACCTCTACGGCCTTCATAGAACAGCTGCTTTTCGACTTGGATTAAATTCTATACAGATGAAATGAATTATCAATTAGAGCTGATCACTATACGGAAATTATGGTAATTTTGTTCATTGTAAATACTTGGACAGCAATAAATATTAGATCATCATATAAGTAGAAAGAAAGCAGTCACAGTTTTTATAAATGTTTTTTTATCTAGTGGTCCATAATTAGTAAGTAGCTAACCAATGCAATGTATGCAAAAGTGTTTTACTGCCAAAACACTTGTTTCTTTAGCAGACAGTATTTTGTGAAGCTTCTTTTTTTTTTAACCAGTGGAAATTGCAATTAAAAACAATTATTTTGGCCCTCCAGGTGAGCTGGTCCTCTGTCTCTGTGCTTCTTTCTGATTCTCTGCTTCCATCTCCTTGAACTCCAGTCGGCCTCAGCAGATGGCCGCTCACACCGAGCCTGGTTCTGCTCGAGGTTTCTTCCTGTTAAAAGGGAGTTTTTCCTCTCCACTGTCGCTACAAGCATGCTTAGTGTGAGGGATTGCATCCGAGTCAATAAAATCAACTGGTTTTCCTTAGATAGAAAACTTTGAATCAATTTGACTGTATGATCTGGTTAAATTGTAAAGTGCCTTGAGATGACTGGGGTTGTGAATCGACACTATATAAATAAACTGAATTGACAAACCCTTATTAAAGTCACCCCAACCTTCCTGTATCAGAGAAATCCTAGCTTTCTTGCTCATACTTGGACAGTTTGCA